TCACTTAATTTAACCCATTATACTGCAGTTTTAGCTTGGTTAAGCCATTACAGTGTACTAAAAGGGCTGCTGAATGCTTGATTCTAATTGGCTGATGATCATATCAAGTTGTGCTGATATTTTCAGGTAAACACACAGCTAAAGTGAACTCCTAAAAGTATATAACTCCTAGAAGTCCATTATTCTACAAATATTGAAGATTTTTGTACGAGTTTGTCTGATGTTCATCTGCTGCCCTCTAGCGACACACACGCACACACACAGACAGGTATCTAAAGGGGCAGCTAAATACGGAAATCAACTAATCGTAATGCTAAACCCCTTTATATGATTATTTAAACAAGAATTGGACCTTTACCTAAATACAATTTCAAGGTTTAGTATTAAGAAAGCAGTTAAATCTTTAATTGTGTGCTTTGTTTAATATTCTGGGTAATTTTCTATTCGTTTTCCTCTCCTTTCCTTCTTTATATACCCTTGTTAGATTATTTTAAATGTAATTCATATTTCCATCATTGTCAACAAACAACAAAAGTAATCTCTGAGTGGTTTGTACTTTATTTCTATCCGTTCAAATGTAATTGTTGTGTTGTTATTGCAATTAAATATACAAAGAAATAAAATTGCAAGGCTTCCAACTTTTTAAGTTCACAAGATTGTTATATTATTAAACAAATATGCCAAATAAGCATCTTCGCTAATTCTAAATTCTTTCTCTGACTAAAGTTACACATATTAATCAATAAACTGAAATAAACAATCAAATGAAATATTGTCTTCACTTTGTGTGGAATATTTTCATTTTAAACGGGCACATGAATAAGAGCGCATGCGTGTATATTAGTCTATATGCAAATGAGTGGTTAATGACTTTTTGAATATTCAACAGCCAATCAAGTATTCAAACTCAAAACAAGCGGAATTTGACGCAGATGTTGTGCAGCAGCATATTAAACACAAACTCCACTATTTCAACACACGGTGAGATATCGCATTCAGTTTGTGTATAATACTTTACTTTTAAACGGGCACATGAATAAGAATGAACGTGTGTAGGCAAATGAGTACCTAAATGCTTCTTTTAAGTAAAGGCAATCAAGTAAATAATTCATAATTCAAAACTTGCAAAGTTTGATGTAGTTGTCATAGTAAACATCACAGAATAGTGCTATTGGTAATTGGCATTTCTTTAAGAATAGAGCTGTCAAACATTAATTTCACATTGCTGACACGTCTGATTAGCATACTGTTAGCAGTAAAGCTCCGCCTATTATAATTTCATTGGTCGCTCAGGATCTTTATTATGATTTCTGTCACAAGTGATAAATAAAACATTTAACTAACAGCAAACACAGAAGCAGGAATAGCAGAAATATTGGATGGGAATAATTCAGCGTTCATTATAGTACCTCAGACTTTGTGTTTGCTTTGTCTGTGTGTGTTTTCAGCTTGTTTTGTTTACTGATTCGAGGCCTGAGAGTGTAAAGCGTCTTACCGGAGTCTGCTGTCCTCTGATCAATCGCATCTTCTTTCTGTCCGATTTTGATGAGTTTTAATCCAATTAATCGAGATTTAATCGACATCCGTTAGTTTCAATCGGCCGTTTGAGCTCCAGCTGATTTCAAATTCAAATATCCCGCCTGAGCTCTCAAATCTCGTGATCGGTCACGTGACTTCATTAGTTTGTTGTTTATTTAATAGCATTGAAGTAATCTAAACAAAACAGACAAAAATATAGTTTAAACCGTACAGAGATTACCTTTTACAATAACGGAAATATTAAATGTTTTAAATAGCATAAGAAAGGTATAGAAATGGAGTTGACTCAACAGTTATTTGATTTTTAAAAAGTATTGACGCCTCTTTGTTTCTGTCTAGAGCGAGTATTTTATAGCTGTTGTGTTTTAAATTAATATTTGTTTTAATATACTTTATTTTGCTCATGTTTAGATAGTATTAGTACACAGACTGATATGCATAAGTCAAGATTTCGAAATGCTATTGTTCACATCATTGCGTAACTATTTTAAGCACAACCAATATTGAAATATTACCAAATATTCTGATTATCCGCCTTATTAAGGTGAAATAGAAGTTCAAAAGCTGAATGAAGGGTAACGTTTCTTCATACAAATATTTATTAAAATTAAATAACAATGCTGCAATAAAACACGGTGGCCCAGTGCTTAGCACAAGAAGGTCTCTGGTTTGAGTCTCGGCTGGGTCAGTTGGTGTTTCTGTGTGGAGTTTGCATGTTCTCCCCGTGTTGGCGTGGGTTTCCTCCGGGTGCTCCGGTTTCGCTCACAATCCAAACACATGCGCTATAGGGCAACTGATCAACTACACTGGCCCTAGTGTATGAGTGTGTGAGAGAATGAGTGTGTATGGGTGTTTCCCAGTACTGGGTTGCAGCTGGAAGGGCATTCGCTAAGTAAAACATATGCTGGAATAGTTGTCAGTTCATTCCGCTGTGGCGACCCCTGATGGATAAAGGAAATAAGCCTGAAGGAAATTGTATAAATGCATGAATGTTGCAATAGTGTTAGCGTGAGTCTGCATGAGTTATCATGAGCTATCAGAATTTAAACATTGTGTAATTCAATCGTGCAATGAAACCTTTTTATTTTTATCTACAGCTTTAGTACAGCAGCATCCAAAAGTCTTGCAGAAATGTTATGGTAGCTTAATGTGGGTTGTTTTAAGAACAAGAGATCATCCTAAACACACTTTATATTTTAGATAAGGCTGCAGACTAACATATTTTACATAAACTATGCTTAAATATAGTTTACAAGTTAACATAGTTAAATAAATTAAAATAACACCGTGAAAAAGTTTATGAACCCTTGGTCTAAATATTCTATGTGGTTTCTTGATGATTTATGACCATTATTTTACTTTGTGATTTTACTTTTACATGTTGAACAGTTAAAATGTTGCCGTTCTTCACAAAAACCCTTGTGTTAAGTTGATTCTGCAGTTTTCCAGCATCTTCTGCAGATTTTGAATCTCTCCAGTATCATAGATCCATGTTTTCACACAGAGCACAACTGAGGGACTCAAACACAGTCATTAATAAAGGTTCAGACACTCACTGATGCTGCGGAAGCAAACAGCAGGCATTAAGAGACGGGGATGAAAACGTCTTTATTTTGTTGAAATATTCTATTTTCCTTGACCTTCAAAAGCAACAGAAGACAATGTAGTATATAATTTCATGTTTCCCAGATTACACATAAAAGACAATTTATCTTGCGGCTCGAATGCAAAACTTTTCACCCCCCAGCTCTTAAAGGAGCAGTTCACCCAAAATGAATTAACATGAAAGTGGTGCGAAATAAGTGAAGCCAATACCAGAAGTGCAAATGTACTCCACAAGCTTATCTAAATAAAGTGTTCACACGCACAGGAAATGTGTGTGTGTGTGTGTGTGTGTGTGTGAGAGACCACAGTTTAAACTGAAGATGTAATGATATGTTTAACAGAAAACACACACACACACACACACACACACACACACACACACCCTGACGTTAAGCAACTTTAACACATTGAACATAAGAAATGCAGCTGCAAAATACACTCGTGTGTTCCTCTTTTTGGTGTAAATGAGTGTCAGTAATGCAATTGAAATCTAACAGAAGCTCCTGGAGCATCTGAAGACGTCCTCGCCTGTAAACTCTGTCAATCGTGCTGGAATTAATGTTGGGTTGTTTGTAAAAGCGCAGTCAGGTTTGACTGTAAGAGGTATTAGACTCATACACTTCAAATAAATGACATATTAATACAGCAGTCTACTTTTAGATCTGTGCGTGTGTGTGTGTGTGTGTGATTTTATTTGTGTTATTGTGTGTGTGTGTGTATCTTTGTGTTATTGTGTGCAGGTTAATACGTGTGTGGAGGTATGTGTGTGTGTGCGCATTACTGTGTGTTTGTTTGTGCGTATGTTATTGTGTATCTGTGTGTGTGGTATTGTGTTTGTTATTGTAAGTGAGTGTGTGTATGTGTGGTAATGTGTTTGTTATTGTATGTGAGAGTGTGTGTGTGTGTGGGATTTTATTTGTGTTATTGTGTGTGTGTGTGTGTGTGTGTGTGTGTGTGTGTGTGTGTGTGTGTGTGTGTGTGTGTGTGTATCTTTGTGTTATTGTGTGCAGGTTAATACGTGTGTGGAGGTATGTGTGTGTGCGCATTACTGTGCGTTTGTGCGTATGTTATTGTGTATCTGTGTGTGTGGTATTGTGTTTGTTATTGTGAGTGTGTGTATGTGTGGTAATGTTTTTGTTATTGTATGTGAGTGTGTGTGTGTGTGTGTGTGTGTGTGTGTGTATGTGTGTGTTTGTTATTGTGTATGTGTGTGTTTGTATGTGTATGTTATTGTGTGTTTGTTTTTGTGTGTGTGCGCGTGCATGTGTGCATTTTCGTGTGTTATTGTGTGTGGGTTACTGTATGTGTCTGAAAGTATGTGCACACACACACACACACACACATTAACAAACACACAATAAAAAATACATTAACAAGCACACAAGCACACACAATAACAAACACACACATTAACAAACACACAAGCAGACATACAAAAACACACAATAACCAAAGCCATAACTACATACACACCCACTAACAAACACGCAATAACATAGACAAATACAAACATACAATAACACACATACACGCATGTGAGTGTGTATGTGATATTGTTTTCCTTACATTGTGAGTACCAAATGTCCCCACAAGTATAGCAATACCAGTAAATTCTGGCCTTATGGGGACATGTGTGGCCTCTATAAGGAAAAGAGCTGATAAATCCGTCAGAATGGAGGAGTGTGAAGATGTGAAGTGCAGAGTGTGTGCTGTGAGGGCTGAGTTGAGGAGTGGGCTGGGGAATATACAGTATATACAGAAAAAACATCATTGTGTCCATCGGAAAGTCCCCATAAAGATAGCTGTATAGGTGTGTGTGTGTGTGTGGAGGGGGAGGGGAAGCTGTTTTACATTTTCTATTTCCCCTTTTCTGCAGTCATGCAAGAGTGCGTCGTCTTTAATGTGAGATAAGCTCGACTTGTGCTCTTCCTCAATAAGTTATGAAGTAATTCTTGATTTGTCAGCTCAAAGCCACTCTTCAGACCGGAGACGGACCTTCAGTTCATGAGCTGTAAGTACCATTATACTCAATTCTGATCAAACTCAGAGCGAAAAAGAGAAACTAATATGAAAACTGGAGTCTGGATTATAGGAGTGTGATAACGTGTTTCTGCTGATTATGAACACAGATCTATGGTGAGATTAGGAGGTTCAATCTGGTTTATAATGTTTTATATGACGCTCTCCCAGCCAACAGGAAACTCCAACTCTGAATATTCTATCAATGTTTTCTTAACGTTACAAACAAATGTTCTTACATTATGGTGTTTCAGTGCTCAAAACATTAGCACACAGTGATAGTTATGTCTTTAAATGTGTGACATTTAAACAGAACATTCCCTTAATATATGCATAATGATGACTTGAACTTCCAGAGAGCATTCACAAATATTTTCATCATTTAAAGGTGTAGTTCACACACAAAAATCCAACTTTCCTCATCACTGACTCACTCAAGTGGTTATAAGTTCTTTCTTCTGTTGATCACAAGGTGTATTAAAAGTTTTAAAACACATGTTAGGGGACTTTCTTAACATTTAAACATATAATGTTGGCAAAATAAAGATAAAAGTCACTTGAGTGTGAGGGAATGTCGAGGAAATGTTGATTTTTGGTGAACTGGCCCATTATGGGTATATTTCACATTGGAGCTGTGACGCTGCGTGTCATTCAGTGTAACGGCAGTAAACAGACGGTTCTGAGAGCAGCTTTGCGGAGCGTTTGCAGATGTGCAGAAACGGAAGCAGGTGTGCAGATCGTGCATTCAGATGGAGCAAATGCCGTATACTGTACAAACCTCAAACATCCACAATCAGGTCACTGCAGCCGTATTACTGGCAGATCAGCCTCCATTACTGCTCCAACACATCCCCGGCTTGATTCAGAACAGCCGCTTCATCTAACTTTACTGATTCTGATTCAACTTCTCTGACCAAACAGAGTCCTGCATCTGAAAACTAACATCAGTGTGTTCCTACATGAAAAAATACTGTAGAAGTATAGTAAATCAGCTCAGTGTTTTTAAACCATAGTAAAGTACTTGAATTAATCTGTTGTGGTGACTCTACAGTTGCTATGGTAACAAAACAACTATGTTAATCTGTTGTGGTTATTCTACAGTTGCTATGGTAACAACAACAACAACGTTAATTAATCTGTTGTGATGATTCTTCAGTTGCTATGGTAATGCAACAACTATAATAATTAATCTGCAGTTGTTATTCTACAGTTGCTATGGTAATACAACAACAATATTAATTAATCTGTTGTGGTGATTCTATAGTTGCTATGGTAACCACAACAACAACGTTAATTAATCTGTTGTGGTGATTCTATAGTTGCTATGGTAACGCAACAACTACATTATTTGATCTGTTGTAATTCTACAGTTGCTATGACAACACAACTATAATAATTGATCTGTTGTGATAATTCTATAATTTCTATGGTAACCCAACTATAATTAATCTAAGTGATTCTATAGTTGCTATGGTAACACAACAACTACCCTAATTAATCTGTTGGGGTGATGCTATAGTTACTATGGTAACACGACAACTACGTTAATTGATCTGTTATGATTCTACAGTTGCTATGGTAACACAACACCTATAGTAATATAGATAAATGACCCAATCCTGTAGTTTTTTATATGTAATACTACAATATACCACATTTCCTGAAGTAAAAACTAAATTATACTGCGGTATTTATCAGGTCACTCTAGTTCACATCACAGTATGCTGGTGCCTTCATTAAGAAAGAGTTGTAAATACTATACAGTATACAGTGTTTACTCTAAATTGCTATAGTACAATTTTCAGAAAGTATGGGAAATATGTACACAAAATACGTTTAATAGAACTTTTTTAATACTATTTTAGTGTGATTTTTTCTTCACGCCAAACTCAGTTTGTGGAGACTGCCCTGATGTTTTCTGCAATTAATATATATCTTACAAAAACAGCTATACTTTAAGTTTATTTCATTAAGTGCAAAACTGATGATTCTGGCATCATTTAATCATCCTTCATTGCTTCCAAACCTGTTTAAATTTCCATCATGTGTTAAAAAAAAGAAGTTAACAAGGAGAGAACATGCAAACTCTACACAGGAACGCCAACTGGACCAGCCAGTTCTTGAACCAGCAACCTTCTTGCTGTGAGGCAACAGTGCCAACCACTGAGCCACCGTGTGGAATTCTAACATTGTTCAAGATATCCTACTTTGCATTCAAAAGACAAAAAGAAACTCATGAAAGAGTAAATGATGAAAATATTTACATTTTTGGTGAACTATTCCTTTCAGTAATGTTGAAGTACTTTACATGTAAGGTCATCTACTGTATGTAGTAGTACAGTAGGCTACTTGAACACTGCTTGGTACTAATTGGCCCACTTTTTTAGTAAATTAAATGATGTGTATTATTAAGTGTAACATTTAGTGCACAAGAATGTCCACAATTACTTAATTAAAATGTACTGCAAGTGATAATGAGTTTACCAGTGTCTACTAGTGTAATGCATGTATAAATAATTCAACTGCACTCTTTAAGATTGTTCCTGAGAACACTGAGAGCTCTTCAGAAGTAGACTGAGAGTATATTTTCTTATTTTCACTGCACTAACAGCACATTTGAATAAACATCTCTTTCATAAGGGGAACAGAAACTCCTGCAGTTAGACACAAACAATGCACGCCTGTACTTTCTAATAGAGAAAGAGAGTGTACTATAGAACATATTATACACGACTAAGACTGTAATTTTTATTTGGTGGCCTAAAATGTTTGCATTGCACTGTATATATATATATATATATATATATATATATATATATATATATATATATATATATATATATATATATATATATATATATATATATATATATATATAAATGACTGATCTAACAGACTAAATGTTCATGAACTGGAGTCAAAATTAATGTGAAAACTGTCTTAAGTCTAAATTATAATGTTTTCAGCAGTCAATCAATGCATGCAAAATTGAATTCATGCATGTAACAGCTGTTAAACCTGATTAGTTTGAATTAAAAGCACTTTTAAAATCACATCATTGAGAATATGAGGTTCTAAACACTTTCTAAAGCACACTTTATACCTGTAAACACAATGCAATGTGAAAACCTGTGGCTTAAATGACTTTGAATCTTAATTCTGAGTAATTTGACACTGTGCTTACACTTTAAAGTTGTATAATTTCACCAGTTATCAAACTAATCTGAATTAAGTAAAAGTATGTGGTTAAAGACAGACTTTAATGAAAGTAAGAAGTGCAGGATTAATGGAGTTCTTATCTTCACAAAAGGAAGAAGTGATATTAGTGCGGTGTCAGTCTGTGGTCTTCGTACATTCTACTGGAGTTAAAGCCGAGACTGCAAGAGTTTGTGTTGTCGACATGTAGAGAAACGCTGTTTTCTGCTGCCAAAGCAAATCCACATTGAGTTCAGATATGATGACGGACATTTGGTTTCTGATATGCACTGTAAGCTATGGACCAATCAGAGCTGAGCTGGACCATCAGGCCAATCAAAGCAGAGTAAAGCCATGTGTCCAATCACAACAGACTGAGTGATCAGACTGATGAAAGCAGAGTAAAGCCATCTGACCAATCAGAGTAGAGCTTAGTAGTCTGACTAATCAATGTAGAGTAAAGCCATCTGACCAATCAGAGCAGAGCTGGGAAATCTGACTAATCAGAGTAGAGCTAGACAATCTGAGTACATCGATCAGACCAATCAGAGAAGATCTGGGCAATCTAACTAATCAAAGCAGAGTAAAGTCATAAGACCAGTCAGAGCAGATCTGGGGAATCTGACCAATCAGAGCAAATCTGGGCAATCTGACCAATCAGAGCAGTGTAGAGCCATAAGACAAATAAAAGCATTTCTGGGCAATCGGAGCAGAATAGAGCCTTCTGACCAATCAGATCTGGCCCATCCAACCAAACAGTAAAGCTATCTGACCAATCACAACAGAATAAGTCATTAGACCAATGAGAGCAGAGTAGAGCCATATGACCAATCAGAACAAATGTTTGACCAATCAGAGCAGATCTGGGTAATCTGACTAATCAGAGCAGAGCTGGGTAATCTAAGTACAGCCATCAGCCCAATCAGAGCAGAGCTGGGAAATCTGACTAATCAGATCTGGGCCATCCAACCAAACAGAAGCGCCGTCTGACAAATCACAACAGAATAAGTCATCAGACCAATGAGAGCAGAGCTAGGCAAATCTGACCGGCTAGATCAACATAGAGCCATCAGAACAACCACAGCAGAGTAGAGCCATCTGACCAATCAGAACAGGCATTTGACAAATCAGAGCAGATCTGGGCAATCTGACCAATCAGCAAATTCGGGTAATCTGACTAATCAGAGCAGAGTTAGGCAATCTGAGTACAGCCATAGGCCCAATCAGAGCAGAGTACAGCCATCCAGCAATCAGAGCAGAGGTAGGCAATTTGACCAATTAGAGCAAAGTAGAGCCATCCAACCAATCAGAGCAGAGTAGAGCCATACCACCAGTCATAACAAACTGGGTCATCTGACCAATGAGAGCAGAGCTGAGCAATCTGCCCAACTGGAGCAGTGCAGACATGAACTGTGGAATTAAAGTGACTATTAGTAAAGTTTCAGTGGGTTAAACAATATATTGTATAATCAATAACATATAGAGGATTAGGATAGCAGAAGACGAACTGACATCATATCACAAGGGTTCTGTAGCGTAATATACAACACCAACCCACACAGTATAGCACTTTATACTAATAAAAATGTCAATAAATGTCACGTTTTAGCATGTTTCAATGGCAAAAGTTGTTGGAGAAAAGAACAGTATTTAAAAAATTTGAAAAGAGTAAATAATAATAATAATAATAATAATAATAACATGATTCACAATGTCGAGTAAATTGTTGATGTATGGATGTATTTTACAGTGCACAGCTCCTCTGGTGTGTAGAGAGAGAGATGCATTATTAACACTGTGTTTTCACTTGATCTGTGATCTTCAGAGTGTTCATTTCCTCCTCTACGCTGCTCTTCACATCTACTCTATGTGTATTTGCACTAGTACAAACTATTAAGTAATTTCTCAGGCCTCGTCTTCTCTTCTCACTCTTCATCATCTCACAGTCACAGAAATATCCACTGATCACAGTACAGTCATGTTGTTCAGCACATGCAAAAGATGTTTAAAATAAACCCCCAGCGGCTGTTGCTGACCGAGTATTTAAATGGAGAGGGTTTGCTGTCTTATTAAGCAAATGCAGTATTGATGACTCTCAGCATCTGCAGTGTTTACATGATGGTACTGCTTCGGGTTAAGGTTCAGGCTCTTTGATGCACTGTAAAAAATGCAGTGAAATAAATGCTTGATGACACTTTAACTTATTTTATAATGTGATAAATGCTTCTCCAGTGAGCTAAACGCCTCTGTTTACTGATGTGTTTCTCATTCTAGTCTCTGTGTGGTCTCCATCATGGAGGCGACAGGGAAATACGACTTCTCAGCTACAGCAGGAGACGAGCTGAGCTTCAGGAAGGGGGATGTTATCAAGGTGACACTTTTACTACACACACACACACACTTATATCTGCACTAACACAACACACACATCCCAGAATTACAGATATCACATTTCACGCATCTTCCTGTTATGCAGAAATGACCTTTATAAGGGGTTTAAACAGTTAATGTGTGGACATCTCCAGCCTCTAGTGCTCAACATGAATTAATATAATCAGACTTGATGCAGAAACACTGTGATTGACATTCTCCCTTTTGTACGTGTCATCAGAGGGGGAAAGCCCCTCCCACTAGTGCCCATCTCTCCATCTCATTAGCATGTCCAGCAGCCCTGAGTGAGAAGCAGCCGTCTGTCCATTAGCCATTAGAGTGTTTGAGGGAAGCGCTGAAGTAAACATGAACTGAACCACCTGAATATTCATCTGTGCTTCACTTTAAACTGTAGAATGGCTTCAGAACATTTGGGAAATAGTAGCCTACATGATTACTGTCTAGTGCCTTATAATAGGCTACGTGCATGGCTTTAATTGGCTTATAAACTGCACAGAATATAGCACACCTGCAAGATCAGATCTAAATTGGTTCTAGCGGGCTGATTCCTGATGCAGCAAAAATATGCGGTATCAAACCGACATCCGATCCAAGTATCGGGATCAGAGCATCCCTAGTTTATATAACTGAAATTAGTAATGATACAGAAAACAGGAGTGTTCTGCTAATATCAGTAGAGTAAACACACACAACAGATGACAATTGGACTCCATTATTTGGCTATAATTGAAGATAAGTGTGTGATTCAGGAGGCAGAGATTGTCAGAAATAGGTTTAGTAGGAGTTTTTAAGTTAATATTAAAGACAAAATGTCCAGAAACAGTTTATTGTTTAGATATCTTGATATGATTTGTGTTATTATTCAGAGCTTCATTAAATGATCGGTTCATTTTAAAAACAAGGGGCTTTATCATACACCCGGCGCAGTGTGGCGCAGTAGTCTTTTGGTAGTTGCAGCTTGGCGCAAGAGTGGTTTAGAGGCGTTGCGCTACGCTGTTTAAATAGCAAATGCATTAGCGCTCATTTGTGCGCCCATAGGCGTTCTGGTCTAAAAAGGAAGGCGTTCTGAGGGGGACCGCTGGCGCGCTGCTATTTTGAGAAACTATAATAGATTTTTCATTAGACCAAAACAAACCCGGTCTAAACTCTAGCGCAGAGTTGCACCTCGCTCACACACTGCTTAATACACACAAGAGAGCAATAGGCAAATATCTTTACATATGAAAACAATTAAATATTAAGGATATATATAGGATATAAGAATAGATATAGGATATAAATATAAAGGATTAAAATATTACAAAACATTTTCTAGCCTACATAAATATGAAAATCACTGCTTTTATGTCTTCTTCATCTCGGGAGGCTTTTTCAGTTCATTCATAACAATTTGCTTTTGTATAATGTTATTATTATTAGCAGTATTATTTATTATATCCATATTTATATTTGTTTTATTAAAAACAAGCTTAGATTTGTCCACCTGCAGGTTTTAGACCATATGGGGCAGCATGTGTTTTAGTATATAACTCAGGTTTTTGATCACACTTGGTCATTATTATTGTTCATTTATTCGTTTGCTGGAAATTAGAACTGAATTTAGAAATAGTTTTGAAATGAATATTTGCGCTTAACAAACAAAATTAATTATTTATAGACTAATAGATGTCTGTGCGTAAAGGTTTCCCTATCCAAGAGCAAAAGTGAAAGTGATCCATTATCTCTCATTCTCACGCAGTAGATGCTCTGTTTAACTGTTTTCTGTTAAAAAGCTGTCAACTGTGAACTGTTTGCTTGTGAAATGCTCATTTTTTCCACTTAGACTTACTTTGCGTCCTGTAAATAGCGAATGCGCTCTTGGCGTGATGCAGCTGACTCTTAAAGGGAATGGGAGATGAGACTCTGACTGGTTTATTCTCAAACACACTTATAACTCATTAAGAAAATAAACTCAACCCTGTTAGACCATGAGCCATGGCGCAAGGCAGATTTCCCGTCCTTAAATTAGCAAAAACGCGTCCTGACACGCCCTGAAAGCGTTTGCGCCCTGCGTGTTGCGCTCTGCGCATGGACCGAGAAGTATCCACAAGCACCCTGGGCTCTATTTTGATGATCCAGGCGCATAAACATTAAGGGCGTGTCCGAATCCACTTTTGCCATTTTAAGGACAGACAAATCCGCTTTGCGCCGCGGCACATGTCCTAACAGGGTTGAGTTTATTCTCTTAATGAGTTATAGGTGTGTTTTGAGAATAAACCAATCAGAGTCTCATCTCCCATTCCCTTTAAGAGCCAGCTGTGTCGTGCCATGGTGCATTTGCTATTCACATGACGACTTTGTAAGTGGACAAACTGAACGCTTCACTAGCGAGAAAACAGTTAAACAGAGCATCTGCAGCACGAGAATAAGAGATGAGCCTCCTCATTATCTACTTTCACTTTCACTCTCGTGCATAGGCAAACGTGTTGTAGACATCCATTAGCCTATAAATAAGTAATTTTGTTTGTTAAGCGCAAAGATTTGTTTCAAAACTATTTCTCAATTCAGTTCTAATCTCTAGCAAACGAATAAATGAACAATAATAATGAAGTGTGCTCAAACAACTGAGCTATTTTCAAAACACATGCTGTGCTCCATATGGTCTAAAACCTGACAGGTGAACAAATCTAAGCTTGTTTTTAATAAAACATATATAAATATGCAGATAATAAATAATACAGCTAAAAATAATAACATTATACCAAAGCAAATTGTTATGAACAAACTGAAAAAGCCCCCCGAGATGAATTATATTTTTGGAGGCTAGAAAATAATAATTTTTATAATATTTTAATCCTTTAATTCTTTTTCGTTTGTAAAGATATTTGTGTATTGCTGAACACCCTGTGTGTATTAAGCAATGTGTAAGTGAGGCACACAAATAACGGACTATAGACCGGCTTTGTTCTGGTCTATTGAACAGTCTATTTCAGTTCCTCAAAATAGCGACGCGCCAGCAATGCGCCTTAACACACCTCCTCTTTTATGCCTACGGGCGCACAAATGAGCAAAAATGCATTTGCTATTTAAACAGCGTGCTGCAACACTTCAAACTACTCTTGCGTAAAGCTGAAACTAGTAAACAACATTTGCGTCGCGCCTTGCGCCTCATTGTGCCGGGTGGATGAAAGGGCCCTGATTCACACTCTATTACTTCAGCTGTTTTGACAACATCATGTATTTGGTCTGAGCTTAATTACCTTGTGCTCTTGTAGATTTTAGGCACCAATGACGACTGGTTCAGAGCTGAAATAAACGGTATGGAAGGATTCGTTCCACGAAATTACATCGTCACCACCTTCCCCAGGTAACGGACACCAGATCTGATGAAAACACCAAAACTAATTTCTGCAGCTCTCTTAATTCATTCATTTTCATTCGGCTTAGTCCCTTATTCATCAGGAGCACCCGGAGGAAACACACCAACACGGGGAGAACATGCAAACTCCACACAGAAATGCCAAATGACCCTGCCTGGACTCAAACCAGCAACCTTCTTGCTGTGAGGCCACAGTGCTAACCACTGAGCCACCGCGCCGCCACTCTTACAACTTTTAATATTTAAAAAACGTCTGTAACTCTTTTAAAACAATTGTAATGGTGTGCAATTTGAGTGTATTTGGATATAATCAATTAGCAAGCACTCAAAGAGTTAATAGTTGTTTCATGTGTTTTAATTAATGATCAAAAATGTATAAATCAGTTAGTGGAAAACCTGTCTGTATATTTGAATACACCTCAAAATGATAAAAGACGCTGCACAGTAAGAGATTAAATAAGAGAGCGACATCTAGTGGACACGAGTGGCATTTGGAAATGAGCACAGGTCAATCGACCGATTGTTTTGGTTATTACATTTTAAATAAACACATTTACTTGTGGATGTTTCCCACTACTGGGTTGAGGCCAGGGCCGGATTAACCAATGGGCCTTATGGGCACAGGCCCAGGGGCCCGTGCGCACTAGGGGCCCCTGCGAGGGGGGAGAAAAAAAGACAATTTCGGAGTGTCTTTTTAGGCTAATTGCAAATAGCGCATTTAGTTGGACTAAGCCATTCAGGGTTTACGCCCATCGATGCCTGATTGATAGAGACAACATGAGTAAAGAGCAGTGAAATAACATAGCCGCAGTGGCGCACCTTGTTAGGCACACGGCTTCATCTTTTGACGCGATTAATCATAACATCGGTTCGAATCCAACATCAGTTGAACTCGTGCTACTTTTTTTACTCCCCATTACATATCAGATTGGAAATATATTTATATTTAACAGGAAAGAAACATTTTTTAAAAATAATGCAAATGTGATATAAAGTCACAAGTGTCTCGTGGGTATTTAATAATGTTTAGCCTTATTATAGGCGCCTGCCGCGCCTCCCTCTCTGCAAAAACTATATTGCTCAGACAACTGTATTTCCTCTGAGCAAAAAAATCGCGATCAAATATTAATATTATTATTATATTTAAATTGCCTTTCTTTCTTTAACTAAACAGAATGCTGTAATTGGTCAAGTGCGGAAACGTCAGTTTTGTAATAACCCGCACTAAACTGAGCAGACTGTAGTGTGTAACGTTATATCTTTCATAGATCAAAAATGAGTGGACAAGTGGATTTAGCAAACGCGAGAGAAAGAGGAGAGGAGGCATCTTTATTGAGGCATTTTCCATACACACCTTCTTTAAACAGACCCGTGATCAGGAGAATGAGAGTACAGAAGAAGACGTTAACTTTAAATGATGAGTAGCTAGCATTAACCAGGCGGAGGAGGCTAATGGCAGCGCAGCGCGGACTGAATTCATCGTGTGAGAGACAGACAGAAAGGGAGAGAGAGGGAGAGAGAGAGAGAAAGGCCCAGAAGAGGAGAGAGAGGGGAGAGAAGAGGTATAGTGTCTGTGATTTCGGATACTTTTAGGTTTATAATCAAGTCTTCATCACGAGAAGAGTAGAGAAAATACAGGGAGAGGAGGAGAGAGACAGTAAATCAGTGTTTGTATTATGAAAGACTCAGATTCATAGAACTCAGATTCATAGAACTGGATTGGAGAAGCATTGTGCGTTATATGCCATGGCAATAATATTCTTTATAAGTTTGTAAAAGCAATACACTAAAATACCCTTAAAAAAATTATATATATATATATATATATATATATATATATATATATATATATATATATATATATATATATATATATATATATATATGTGTGTGTGTGTGTGTAGTTTTATTAGTATTTTTATTTAATGCTTTGAAAAATAATTTAAATCTTTGCAGACTATAAATACATATGTACTATATATCATTTATTTAAATATGTGGGCAACAAATTATAGATTCATTTTATTTAAAAATTTTTTATATTATTCTTATTTTTTAAATTCAACTATAGGGGTGCGGCCAGGTAGGGGGCCTTACAAGATAATGTGCCCAGGGGCCCCTGAGTTCTTAATCCGGGCCTGGTTGAGGCTGAAAATGCATCCACTGCGTAAAATATATGAGGGAATAGTTGGCGGTTCATTCCATTGTGGTGACCCCTGATAAATAAAACAACTAAGCCAAAAGAAAATGAATGAATATACAAATTTACAAACCCCACAGCCCTTACATACAATACTGTTCAAGCTCTCCAGTACTTCAAACTGAGATTATAATAAAAGTAATAATAATAATAATAATAAATAATAACAAACATACACACACACACACACACACACACACATATATATATATATATGTAAAAACTTTCCAACAGAGAAACTATTGAATTGACAATGTTTTTTAAGGAATTATCAAAAATACCTTGCACTTGATTGTAACTTTAACTTAATCTGGTTGTAGAGCAATAGTGTGCACCTTTTGTAAAGCTGCTTTGAAACAATAATTATTGTAAAAAGAGCTAAACAAATAAACTTAAATTGAATAATTTATTTATTTATTTAGCCATTGTGAGTTTCTAAGCAATTAAGTGTACCAAAAATGACACAAAATATGTTGGACAATTATTTTTATAGACATGTTTTATATTTTCTTATATTTATATAATGCTTAGTTTGATTTATCAGTGCTTTTACAGCACTTTTTTACGTTGTGTCCAACTTGTAATGCAATTCACTTCATAAAAACCCTGTTCAGATCATGTGGATGTTTCAGATCAAACTAAAAATTAAGTAAATTAAGTAAACAGAGTTGTAGTTTTTTGTTTGTGTGTTTGTTTTTTTAAAGGAGTGAAGCAACACCTTAGTAAACACTCATTAATGTCTTCATTTGTGTGTTTGTTCAGCTGGTATAAGGAGAACACCAGCCGTCAGTCTGCACAGGATGAGCTGATGTGTCAACCAATAGGAGCCTTCATCATCAGAGGATCCCAGAGCTCACCTGGGGATTTCTCCATCTCAGTCAGGTACATGTGCACACACACACACACACACACACTGCACAATAATATGTAACGTGTCATTAGCATGCATGTTTGAATCTGTCAGGCATGAAAATGACGTTCAGCACTTTAAGGTGATGAGAGACCGGCAGGGCCGATATTACCTGTGGAGCGAGATGTTCACCTCCCTCAACAAACTGGTAGATTATTACACACACAACTCCATCTCCAAGCAGAGCCGTGTCTTCCTGCTCACCGACCAGCGGGTGAGTGCACAACAACACCCCTAAACATCACTACAAAACAACAACACCAAAATGACAAACGTCATGGCAACACCAAAACATACAGTAGCAACTGCCAAACAAAGACATAGCAACACCCAGGACATCCTAGCAACTGCCTATAGTTACCATAGCAAGACCCTGGATACTAAAGCAATGCCATAGTAAGACCCAGGATAGCCTAGCAACTGCAGTTCCCAAGCAGTTTTTCAGAAAAGCTTTAAGAGTGTTTTCCTCTCTCTCAGAGTTCATCTGATTTCCTGCACAGGAAGCCCACTGAAGCTCCGCCCTTCCGGCAGGTAAGCCTTTGAACTGCAATAACCTGTTCGGAAATATGAGTAAACAGATTGATTGATTGATTGACTAATTGATTGATTGACTAATTGATTGATTGACTGACTGACTGACTGACTGGTTGGTTGGTTGATTGATTGATTGATTGATTGATTGATTGATTGATTGATTGATTGAGTGCTCTGAAATCCTGCAGGAGAGACAGGACTACAGAAGCTTAGCACCGCCGGTCGCTCGCCCATCACAACCCTCACTGCCTCCGCAGGTATACAGGCCACACACACACAGACACACACACTCACACAGACACAACCCCCCCCCCACACACACACACACACACGCAGAAACACACACACTCACACATACAAACTCACACAGAATCAAACACAAACACATAAGCATGCACACTCACACATACACACACTCGCACACAGACACAGATACACTAAAGAGCCACTCTTAAATCTCACCACACACACGCAATATCTTCAGTTCATCCATGTGTGTGTGCGTGTGTGTGTGTGTGTGTGTGTGTGTGTGTGTGTGTGTGTGTGTGTGTGTGTTACAGGTCTCAGCTCTGCATGTGCGAGCGATGTATGACTTCACAGCTGAAGACGCAGATGAGCTCAACTTTCAGGCCGGAGACGTGATCGAGGTTCTGGATCAGTCCGATCGATCCTGGTGGAAAGGAGTCCTGCGTGGCAGAACTGGACTGTTCCCCGTCAACTACACCAATCCTCTCTGAACACACACACACGCTTCAAGATTTCAAGATGACAGAGATCGGCCATTGCATCCCAGCAAGCATTTTTTGTTTTAAAAGATGTCTAATAGATGTCCAATACATGTATAATAGATGTATAATACATGTATAATACATGTCTAATAGACAACTAACAGATGTCTTGTAGATGACAAATAGATGTCTAATAGATGTATAATACATGTCTAATAGACGACTAATAGATGTCTTAAAGACGACTAACAGATGTCAAATAGATGTCTAATAGATGTATAATACATGTATAATAGATGTATAATACATGTCTAATAGACGTCTAATAGATGTCTTAAAGACGACTAATAGATGTATAATACATGTCTAATAGACGACTAATAGATGTCTAACAAATGTCTAATAGACGACTAATAGATGTCTTAAAGACGACTAAAAGATGTCTAATAGATGTATAATACATGTCCAATAGACGACTAATAGATGTCTTAAAGACGACTAAAAGATGTCTAATAGATGTATAATACATGTCCAATAGACGACTAATAGATGTCTTAAAGACGACTAAAAGATGTTTAATAGATGTATAATACATGTCTAATAGACGACTAATAGATGTCTTAAAGACGACTAAAAGATGTCTAATAGATGTATATTAGATGTATAATAGACGACTAATAGTTGTCTTGAAGACGACTAAAAGATGTCTAATAGATGTATAATACATGTCTAATAGACGACTAATAGATGTCTTAAAGACGACTAATAGATGTTTAATAGATGTCTAATAGATGTATAATACATGTCTAATAGACGACTAATAGATGTCTTAAAGACGACTAATAGATGTTTAATAGATGTCTAATAGATGTATAATACATGTCTAATAGACGTCTAATAGATGTCTAAACAGTATTCTTGGCTAAAAGTCTAAATTAAGGCTGTCGGTAAAAATCTAGTAGATGTCTAATACATGTCTAACAGCTGTCCAATTTATGTCCAATACGTCTAATAGAGGTCTAAACAGTCTTCTTGGCTAAAACAAGTCCAAATTTGGGCTGTCAGTGAAAATTTAATAGGCGTCTAAGAACAGGCCAAAACCAATCATCAGATAAATAGAAATGAATGACGAGACATGTAAAGTCTGTCTAATCTGTTTATTCGACTAGTCTAGTTTTGGGCTATTCTTAGATGTCCATTAGATTTTCACTGACAGGCCAAGTTTAGCCTTGTTTTAGCAAAGCTATCTACATTTAGATGTCTATTAGACATCCATTAAACACAAAATTGTTTGCTGGGATAGTGCAAATATAAGAGTTATGTATGTAAATTAAATATCACATTTCTCTCTTTTAGATTAAACAGCTTTAGTGTAAACAAACTGTCCTTTTGGTGTGGATTTGTTAGAAATAAATACTTAAATAAACAAAATTGCAAAAGACAAAGAGCTTGAAACATCTTGAGGGTGAAATAAAAAAAGAGTAAATAATGTCTATATATGTGCATTACCTCTGATCTCAGCTGGATTCAGCACACTGCGTTTCCTGTTCTCAGTCTGAGGGTGAAAATAAAATATCTGAGCAACATTCAATAATTCAAATGCAGAAATAAATAAAAACATAAACAAAGCAGCTCTGATCTGACCTACATCAGGAGAAAGTGAAACCATCAGCAGAGATTAATGAACTCTTATAGGCACAGTACGCCCAAAAGAAGGTCAATCGTTTCCTCGTCCTCCAAACCTGTTTGAGTTTCTTTCTTCTGCTGAACACAAATGAAGAAATGCTGAAGAATGTTTGGGGATTTTTCCAATGGCTGCTTTGTTTTCAACAGAAGAAAGAAACTCATTTAGAACCACTGGACTGAGCAAATGGTTAGTAATGTTATGGATGAACTAACCCTCCTCTGCTAAAATAGTTGGGTTAAAAATACCCAACTATGGGTTATTATAGCACCTTCCCAAATATGGGTTATTTCTAACCAATGCATTAGGTTATATAATTTGACTCAATGCATTGGGTTATTTTGATTAAATGTAATTTATATTCCATTCTGGTATTAATATTGAAGTACTGCTTATTTTATAATTACGGCTGTGTAAATAAATAAATGTCTCTGCTGGGTCCTAAAGGTGAGAATGATGGCGGAGCATCCTAAATATGTGTATCATTTTCTGTACACTGTAAAAATAGTTGGGTTAAAAATACCCCAACATATAAACCAATTGGTTATTATAGCACCTTCCCAACTGTGGGTTATTTTAACCCAATGCATCAGGTTATATAATTTAACCCAATTATTAATAAATAACCGAATAAAGGTTAAAAATAAACCAACACAGCACTAAATATTTTTAACTCAACCATTGGGTTAAAAAAATAACTCAAGATGATGAACACATCCATATATATATATATATATATATATATATATATATATATATATATATATATATATATATATATATATATATATATATATATATATATTAAGGTTATGTATATATATATATATTATGTATATATATATAATTTTATTTTTTTGTTTAACAGCTTTTTTCACTATCTACCTATTATAAGTTACTATATATTGTATACACAAAGAATATTTTGCCCATATTTGACCCAGCATGGGTGAACACACCCAGCATGTTTAGAGTGAGGTGTACTTTGGATAGTAACAGATAAAGCCTCTGATTCACGGTATCGGAGCTCCACCCACCCGTGCCGCTACACCTGGCCGCAGGTAAGACTCTTCAGCTCCGCGTTCAGAGCAGCAGCGGTAGCCGGTGATGGCGGAGTCCCAGCTCGAGGCTCTGGAAGACGGGCAGATCCCCCCCGCGGTGCCCGAGTCCCGGCCGCAGTTCTATTACAGCGAGCGGCAGCGGGTGGCGCTGGAGCAGCTCATCACCGGCGGAGACGGAGCCTTCAAGACCTACCTCAAGGTATGGGTCAGGGCGGATCGCCTGGGTTTCATTTATTCGCTCATTTTGAACCGTGATTATTTGTGCAGCGCGCCTTTCAATATTGGGTCTGAAATCACATGCAAGAAGGACTTAAAACAGTTAATTGACTATCAACAGGGGTGTACTTTGATAGTGATTGGCTGATAATGAATCAGCAGATTTACAATACGAGCAGTGTGTTCCTGTAAATCACCATCCATCCATCCATACACACACACACACACACACACACACACACACACACACACACACACACAGAGAGAGAGAAACATCCAAACATACAGAACCACACAACACACATCCACATCGACACACACACGGTGAAAAAACTCACTCAACACTTTCAAAATAATGTGGAAGGTGGAGGTCTGAATGTGCGAATATAAACCAACTTTACCTCATTAATAAAACATTTTGATGAGTTTTTCATCTCCACGTGCAGGAGGAGCAGAGCCACGACTTTCTGTCCGCGCGGGAAATCAAGAACATCACTGGAAGCTTCGTCAAATACCAGGAGGAGGATGGCGGAGGTGCAGGGGCGGAGAGGGGTCCCGGCGGGGCCAAAACGGACTCCATGCATTCCACATACTGGCCGCAGATGTCCGACACCGAGGTGCCGCCGCTGGACATGGGCTGGCCCTCCTCCGGGCTCTTCAAAGGGGTCACCCGGGTGTCGGTGCACACACACCCGCCAAAACCCAACAGCCCGCACATCAAAGAGGTGGCGCGAAAACTCATCCAGGAGGCCAGCAAGGTCAGTGAGCGCTCCATATGAGAATATAACAGTTCAAATCAAATAAACCTGGATTAAATCTACAACACGCGAGAAATCAAGTCTCCCTCCACTATGAGTGTTTCATTCCTGCACACTGATATGATAGAGCAGTGATCTCTGAACTACAGAAAATCATTTTCTTATTTTTTTGTCTTGTTGCTTATAGCCATCCAGACACTCTTAAATTAAAAAGCATGTAGACACACAAAATATTGTCTTTACGTCAAAATAAAGTGAGTTTTTCCTTAAAACAAGCTAAATAATTGGGGGTAGGGGAAGTAATCTTGTTTTTCTTTTTGACATAACATTATTTTAATGACCCCATTGGCAGATTATTGTGTGGTTAATGATTTATTTTAAAAACAAAACAACACCTATTTTTTGTTGCTCCTGTTGTTGTAGTTTATAGCATAAGATATTATTGGAACAAAGTCACCTGCTTTATTGTAGGTTATACTAGCGATCATTGATTTAGGTTTCTGATGGTTACAGTGGTAAATGTTTGACAGGGTTTTCCTCACAATCATATTTTCAGTTTCATTTTTAGTAAATAAAACAGTTGATTTTTAATTTTATCAATCAGTTAACATGAGAGTATGTTTAGTTAAGTTTTAAACTACAGGGTAAAATTAATATTTAAAACACAAGCTACTTTTTACAGCTGCCGCTATTGTGTTAAATTCCTAAAAATAATATCTTAACAAAGACTAGATTACTGGGTACTGTTAGGCTACTGCAGCTCATTGTAATTTAATATATATATATATATATATATATATATATATATATATATATATATATATATACATACAGTTGAAGCCAGAATTATTCACCCTCGTTTATTTTTTTCACCAATCTCTGTTTAACAGAGAGATTTTTTTCAACATGTTTCTAATTATAATAGGTTTAATCACTTATCTAACTGATTTATTTTCTCTTCATCATGATGAGAGCACATAATATTAGACTAGATATTCTTCAAGACACTAGTGTTCAGCTTAAAGTGACATTATAAAGGTGTAACTAGGTTAATTAGGCAGGTTAGGGTAATTAGGCAAGTCATATATCGATGTTTTGTTCTGTAGATTATCGAGAAAAATATAGCTTAAAGGGGCTAATAATATTGACCTTGACTGGTGTTTAAATTTAATAATTATTCGCCCTTTAAATTTTTCTTTCTTTTTTAAATATTTCCCAAATGATGTTAAACAGATTCAGGAAATGTTCACAGCATGTCTGATAATATTTTTTTCTTCTGTAAAAAGTCTTATTTGTTTTATTTCGGCAGGAATAAAAGCAGTTTTTAATTTTTTAATAAACATTTTAAGGCCAAATTTCTTAGCCCCTTTAAGCTTTTTTCTTTTTGATAGTCTACAGACCATCATTAACCATATATCATATAACCATCATTATACAATAACTTGCCTAATTACCCTAGTGAAGCCTTTAAATGTCACTTAAAGCTGTATAGAAGTGTCTTGAAGAATATCTAGTCTAATATTATGTGCTGTCATCATGACAAAGATGAAATAAATCAGTTATTAGAGATGAATTATTCACACTATTATGATTAGAAATGTGTTGAATAAAATCTGCTCTCCTTTAAACAGAAATTAGGGAAAAAATAAACAGCGGGGGTGAATAATTCTGACTGTATATTCAACTGTATATTGCTATATGAAAACAATTTCACCATGTGACTTAACATCTCTATTTGGAAAGAATGTATAATGATTCTGCAGTGGAAGTGCATCTCCTTCAAATCTAATAAACAATCTATAAACTTTTTGGGCACCCCCCGACATGTTTATGTTGTGGTCTGTGCTATTTGCAGTGCATTTCTGTATTTCCATCTGCTGTATTTCCTGCACGTGTTTAGTCAGAGATTGATCAATTAATGTTTATTATTTGCATCTTCATAAAATCTAATAAACAATCTATCAACTTTTTGCGCCCCCCCCCAACATATTGTCTAGGTAGTCTGTGCTATTTGCAGTGCATTTCTGTATTTGCATGTGTTGTATTTATTATGCATAATGATCTAAACACAATCAAGAAAAAGATTCAACTGTAATAAAGTGTGTTATCGTTTCCCGAGTAGGTATTCAAGTACAGAAACTGAGTGATAAAACTAATTAAATTAAATTAATCATAGTAAATCTCACTAATGGTGCAATTTATTACACCTGAATGCTTTTAAATTAAGCACACAATCACAGGCTTCAAAAACACATGCAAATGATAAAGTACACATCTCAACACTGCATATATCCTGTGATGTGTCTATTGTGAATGATCACACTGCCATATCGATGCTGAAATTATTGTGAGGCCCTAATACTAACAATCATTGATTATGGTGTGTAAGAGCTTTCCTCACATTTATAGTAGTGATTTTACTGTCGCTCATATCTCTGGAAATCATAATAATAATGACACAATTCTCAGGAAGAGTACAACTGACGCTAGTGAAGGATGGTTTTATTGTTCTGTGGAAAACACATCGCTGCTGGATTCTTCAGACTCGTGTTCAGACATGATGAGACGTGTGCTTCTGATGAGCGACTCATGATTGATCTGCATTTCTGACGGAGTCTCCTGCTGATCCCAGTGAAAGTGTGCTGAATATACGACGCTTCTGTACTGCGTTTATGAGGAATCCTGTGTTAACTTTTGATCTCCATAGAGCCGGACAGACGGGTTCAGGCACAATTCTGTCTCACTGCAAAAATTATAACTGCTAATAACTTTTCCTACTTTGATTTTTTGTCTCATTTCTAGTCCGAATATAAAAAAACAATGAAATCAAGAAGGATTTTTTTAGACGAGCACAAAATATTGTCTTGCTTTAAGAAATAATGAACTGGTTTTGTTTATATGATTATTGTGCTTGCTTTAAGGAAACTCACTTCAGTTGACTCATTATTTCTGAAAACAAGACGATATGTTGTGCTTGTCTAGAAAATGACGACTGATTTAAGAGTGTTTAGATATTTGGACTAGAAACAAGACTAAAACTCTTCGTTAGGAGGAGCATTTCTGCAGTTCAGAGACGGCTGCTATCTTATCAGTGTGCTGGAATACAGTAATCATAGTGAAGGGAGACCCAGTGATTAAATGAAGGATCAGAAAACAATGAGCAAGGAGAAAGTGAAAGCTCTTCAGAATGAATCAGCTGATTTACACTAATGACACTACGAGCAGTGTATGCTGCTGTAAATCCCCATCAATACACACACACACATAAAAAACACACACCCACATTTCACAAACACTCACACACACACACACACTCACACACACACACTCACACACACACATATAAAACACACACCCACATTTCACAAACACTCACACACACACACTCACACACACACACACACACACATACAATGCTTTCGGAGAGTATTGATGGCGCTTCACTTTCCCACATGTGTTTATGTTACACTCTTATTCCAAAATGGATTAAATTAATGTATTTCCTCAACATTCTACACACAATCCCCCATAATGACAATGTGGAAAGAGTTTTTGAAATTGTTGCAGATTTATTAAAAATAAAAAGCTGTAAAATCAGATGTACATCAGTATTCACAGCGCTTGCTCAATACTCTGTCGATGCACCTTTGGCAGTGTTTACAGCCTCGAGTCTTTCTAAATATGATGCACAAGCTCTGCACAGCTGTCTTTGGGAATGTTTCCTGTTCCTCTTTGCAGTATCAAGCTCCATCAGGTTGGATGGGAAGCGACGGTGTTCAGCCATTTTCAGATCTCTCCAGAGATGTTCAATAGGATTTAGGTCTGGGCTCTGGCTGGGCCTCTCAAGGACATTCCCCGAGTTGTTGTTGTGCCGCTGCATTGATATGTTGGCGGTGTGCTTTGGGTCATTGTCCTGCTGGAAGATGAAGCGTCGGCCCAGTCTGAGGTGGAGAGCACTCTTGTGCAGGTCTTCATTCAGGATGTCTCTGTACATCGCTGCATTCATCTTTCCCTCTATCCTGACTAGTCTTCCAGTTCCTGCTGCTGAAACACATCCCCACAGCATGATGCCAACACCACCATGCTGCACTGTAGGGATGCTGTTAGCCTGCTGATGAGCGCCGCCTGCTGTTCTCCACACGTAACGCCTGGCGTTCACTCCAAACAGTTCAGTTTGAGTCTCATCAGAGCAGAGAGTTTAGTTTCTGATGCTCTGAGAGTCCTGCAGATGCAAACTCCAGGCGGGGAGTGTCTTCTGTCTGCCCGCTCTACCATACAGATGCCTGATTGGTGGATTGCTGCACAGATGGTTGTCCTTCTCTCTCCACAGAAGAACGCTGGAGCTCAGACAGAGTGACCATCGGGTTATTGATCACCTCCCTGACTGAGGCTCTTCTCCCCCGATCACTCTGCTTAGATGGCTGGCCAGCTCTAGGAAGAGTCCTGCTGGTTAAACGTCTTCCACTGATGGATGATGGAGGCCGCTGTGCTCACTGGAGCTGTCAGAGCAGCAGAACTGTTTCTGTCACCTTCCCCAGCCTTGTGCCTCCAGACAATCCTGTCTCTGATGTCTACAGACAGTTCCTTTGTCTTCATGCTTGGTTTGTGCTTTGTCATGCACTGTCAACCCTGGGCCCTTATATAGACAGCTGTAGCCTTTTCAGAGCTTTACAGCTTCGTGCCAAAGCCTGTGAATACTGATGTACATGAGATTTTACTGCTTTTTTATTTATAACAAATTAGCAACAATTTGAAAAACTCTTTCTCCACATTGTCATTATGGGGGATTGTGTGTAGAATGTTGAGGAAATCAATCAATTTAATCCATTTTGGAATAAGAGTGTAACATAAAAACATGTGGGGAAAGTTAAGCGATATCAATACTTTCCAGATGTATGTCTGATGTGTTTGTGTATATGTCTGTCCCTGTATATCTGTTTATATGTGTGTGTGTGTCTCTGATGTCTGTCCCTTTATGTGTATGTGTGTGTGTGTGTGTGTGTGTGTGTGTGTGTGTTTGTATATATGGGCATGCTTGTGTTTGTGCATGAATGTATATCTGTGTGTGTCTGTGCGTGACTGTATATGTATATGTGTACGTGTGTGTATGTATGTGTGACTATATATATATGTGTGTGTGTGTGTGTGTGTGTTGTCCAGGTGATAGCGATTGTCATGGACCTGCTGACGGATCTCCAGATTCTGCAGGATATCTTTGAGGCGTCTCAGCGTGGCGTTCCCGTCTACATGGTGCTGGACCTTCTCGGAGCGCCGCACTTTCTGGACATGTGCAGCCGTATGCAGGTCGGCGCTAAACAGCTGCAGGTACAGGAAACAACATCAATACCCACACATTAAACACGCTGCACATCTCTCTCCTCCACGCTGAACACTGCAGAAAATACTCTCGTCTTGTTTATAGTCCAAATATCTAAACATTCTTAAATCAGTCAGCATTTTCTAGACAAGCACAATGTATAGTGTTGTTTGCAGAAATAATGAGTGAAAATGAAGTGAGTTTCTCCTTAAAGCAAGCACAATAATCTTGTTTTCACTTTGAAGTTAGATTATAAAAATATATGGAAGTTCTGGAGGTCATGCTGGCAGATTAAAGCATGAAAGTATGTCAGGACTCCAGTGCTAGTTTGAGTGTGTTTAAGCTGGACTGTGTGATTAGATCAGCAGATCAATAGTGTGTTCAGATGCGCTGCAGCACACTGACACCTGCTGGACACAACAGATAATACACTATCAACAGCAGAATCTACTAATACCTGATCATTATCGTTCATCTGTGTGTGTGGACAACAATGTATTTCTCCTTATATGTATCATTAGTGTGCTCGAGCTTTTAATCTGATGCTTTTTCTCTGTCAGAATGTGCGGACGCGGACGGTGAGGGGCGTCGGGCTGAATCTGTCCATGGGCAGAATACCTGGAAACGTCCACAGCAAATACATGCTCATCGACGGAGACAAGGTCATGTTCGGGACCTACAGGTGAACCACTGCGGTCTGACTGAGGGTTACATGTGTTTGATCCAGAAACAAGCTCAGAAAATACGACCCAGTGTTGAGTGCCTAGACCCATCTTAACCATTCTAAAATCACTGTAATTCCCTACTTGATTGGGCTTATTGCTTTTATGAAATGTTCACCTTAACTCAAATTGGCAGCAGGCCATATCAGTGATTGACAATTCATAGGAGTGCCGCCTTAACATTCTAGCACACAGAGAAAGTGGAAACCTGATGCACTCAGACATGCTTCCCCAGAGTATCTGCAGTCAAAGCTCCTCCGTTTTGTTTCTTATTGTACATGTTGAAGGGGGAGTTTAAACTGATATGGAAATACTACAGTTTAATAACAGGCATAATAACTATTATTATATTCTGTCCCAACCAATTGTTGCTTAACCACAAGTTTAACAGATAGAGTAAGAAGATTGATTAACTTTAGTGAATTTACTTGCCATTATTCATCTCATTATCTTTCTTTTTAGTTAAACTACAACAAAGAGGGAGGAAACAATGCAAATATTCACATTTACTTTAACATGTTTCATTTAGCCAGCAGTTAAACTTTACTAATGCACATTTTTTTAGACAACTCTTAATATGCATGTGAGGAAATCTATTAAATGAGACCATATGAATCAAATATTAGCAAAATTATCATATGTACACCACCAGCATAATGTGTACACTATTGAGATGTGTTTGTACAACAAAATACAGGTGGTAAAAACTGATTATAAAACAAATGACCCTTGAATATTTTCAAAAATAGAGCTTTGGTAAAAATGGAGCACTTACAGACAAATACTTCAACATTTAATCAGCCCCAAAAATAATCTGCATGTGTGTTACTCTCCACCGCATGCTGAGAGAATCCGAAAGTAACCCCAATATACAGTACAGTACTTTAAATGTCCAGTCAGGACAAAATCACAAATGGCTATATGCGACTGCACAACAATGATAGTGATTCAAAAACATATGTTGTGGTGGGCCAAATCTCATTATATTTTGACCAGAATTGCGAACCGAAGAGAGGAGGAGGAAGGAGAAATGGCTCGCAGGCCAGCAGTTTGAAATCCCTGCATTATATACAGCTGAATTTACAATTATTCGCCCTCCTGTATATTTACCCCAATTTCTGTTTAACAGAGAGATTTCTTCAACACATCTCTAATCATAACAGTGTGAATAACTCATCTCTAATAGCTGATGTGTTTCCTCTTCTCCATGATGACAGCACATAATATTAGACTAGATATTCTTCAAGACACTAGTGTTCAGCTTACAGTGACATGTAAAGGCTTCACTAGGGTAATTAGGGTAAAGTTAGGGTAATTAGCAAAGTCATTGTATGAAGCTGGATTTATACTTTCGCCTGGCGCCACATTGCACACCTCTGCTGAGTCGGCGCACCACACTAAACGGACGAGGCTTTTATGCGTGTCGCGTTCGCCACTGTATATATTTTTCCAACTAATATATACTACTATAAACTATTTAATGATTATAAGGATTTTTATACACATTCAAGATTTTTTTTTTTATCTAACTCTGAGAGACACTGCTCGCTGCAGAGCCACTTGGGCTCCAATGAGGGGCAGATTGAGCTCCAACTCCTCCTCTAAGCTGTTTTAATGCAAACACCCACCCCCAACCCCCAGTGACATCACTTGTAGAAGAAGTGCAAGGAAGGAGGAGCTGGAGCTCAAGCTCTGCCCAAGTGGCTCTGCAGTGAGTGCCACTTGAACTTTGCTGCATCACTTGCTTTTGTTCATGTCTCGGACAGATTTACCTACTAAAGTTTATTAAAATATTAATGATAACAGAGCATGTGTTCCTCTACAGATATATTTTTATTATGGCAAGAACAAAAGCAAAAAAAGTACACTTACTAAACAATACGGATGTTTTCTTTAGATTTAGTCTGGCTAGCTTCTGTCCTCTTATGCTAAAAAGACAATACTGGTCCAACAATCCTGACCATTATCACCAGTAAAGCCTAGAGAAACAGGCCATCAGTATATTTGTTCCTTCATTATAGTTTTGTAACTGTTAAATTGTTTAAAATTCACTATTGTAATATATACATCAGAGTTAAACTGGTGGATAAAAATATCTCTGTAAATGTGTATCTGGTCTCCACTTCTGCCATGGCCTCTTTTGGCGTTAGCAAACTCATCCCTCAGGTTTTTCCAAACCTTTTTAACAAAATCTTTCCTCCTTTCCCACGGCTGATGCAAATTCTAGCCAAGAATTATTGATCATCTGGTTATCTCTATGATGATGGACCATAAATGATGACGTCACATTCGCCACGTGCACTCAAACAAACTAGCGGACGCATAGAGTATAAACCAGGCTAAACAGTGGTTTGTTCTGGAGACAATCCAACATAATATTGCTGAAGGGGCGAATAATATTGATCTTAACATGGTGTTTAAAACAATTAAACTGCTATAATTCTAGCCAAAATAAAACAAATAAGACTTTCTCCAATAGAACAAATATTATCAGACACACTGTGAACATTTCCTCAATCTGTTCATCATCATGTGGGTAATATTTGGGTTCATGTTGACTTCAGCTGCATATTAACATCGTCTCTGTTCCTGCAGCTTCTGCTGGAGCTCGTCTCGGATGGACAGAAACATGATTACGGTGATGTCAGGGCAGATTGTGGATTTCTACGATCATGATTTCAGAGAACTTTACGCCAACTCAGACAAACTGGATCTCTTTAAGGAGTTTCACCTCAGCAAACCGCAGACGGGGACTCTGTCTCGGGCCGCGGTCTCCAAAAGGCCTCCGGCGGCCACCTCACGCTTCCAGGTGAATCTCGGAGACGCGACCCGTGGAGATCTGAAGATCCCGGCGCACAAATACCACAATCCCAAATATCTGCTGGCTCTGGGGCAGATCCCGGGACCTGCGGAGCCCATGCAGGAGTTCCTGAAGACCATGGAGCCACAGAATCCCGAAGACCTGCTGGAGGACCTGCAGGGGGAGCCGGAGAACCTGCCGGTAGAGACAGAGAAGAAGAAGAAAAACAAAAGACAGAAGAAGAAAGAGAAGAAGAAGAAGAAAGGGGATAATACGAGTGACGTGGTTATTGATGATAATACATCTAAACACGCAGATGAGAACTTTGAGAAAACAAGCATGAAGAAGAGAAGTTGTTTTTGGCGCTGCTTTGTGAAGTCTAAATGAGGATTTATTCACTCGTACACTTTTAAGGGGTCATGAACTACCTCTGTATTCATTTTGTATTGTACTTTGAAGACTACTACATCAGAAACATCCTCATTTACAAGTATTTCTGTGCTGATTTTGACCCTCATCTCAACTTTCAGTATAATAGGACAATTGCAGACGCCCATTGCTCTGATTGGCTGTCATTTTTGCATATTAATAAGTCTAAACTGACAGTAAAGTATAAGTGGGTGTTGATGTTCCTTGGGGGCGGGGCTTATCCACACTATTACATCATAGAGTGGAATATTCCAGAACCTGTTGTTTTTGTCTGCAATATTAGCTGATTATACAGGAGCTACAAAATTCTATTCTAGTGCATCCCAAATCACAGGATTCGTTCACTTGTACACTTTAAAGGGGTCATGAACTACCTCTGTTTAATTTTGTGTTATTCTTTAGGGACCACTACATCAAAAACATCCTCATTTACAAGTATTTCTGTGCTGTTTTTGACCCTAATCTCAATTTTCTGCAGACTCTGAAGTAAACGCCCACTGCTCTGATTGGCTGGCATATTTGCATATTAATAAGTAAATATTAAAATATAAATAACAGACAGTGAGGTATTGAACTATTTTTCTGTGTGTTTTTGACCCTCATTTGAACTCTGATTGAATGGGCGTGGCCAATTGTAGATTAAAATAAATGCCCACTACTCTGATTGGCTGATAGTTTTGCACATTAATACGTTTAAACAGCCAGTGGTGTCAATCTTCTTTAGGGGTGGGGCTTATCTAGACTATTACATCATAGAGTGGAACATTCCAGAACCTGTTGTTTTTGTCTTCAATATAAGCTGATTTTACAGGAGCTACAAAGGGTTGTGTTCTATTCTAGTGTGTCCCAAATTACAGCATTTGTTCACTCTTACAGTTTTAAGGGGTCATGAACTACCATGTTAAACAGGCAGGGAAGAATTGGACTATTTTGCTGTACTGTTTTTAATCCTCATTTGAACTCTGATTGAATGGGTGTGGCCTATTGTAGGCTCTGAAGTAAACGCCCACAGCTCTGATTGGCTGTCAGTTTTGCATATTAACAAGGTTAAACAGACAGTGCCGTTGATCCACTTTGTAGGCGGGGCTTATCCACACTATTACATCATAAAGTAGAGAGTGGAACATTCCAGAACCAGTTTTTGTTTTCAATATAAGCTGATTTGACAGGAACTACAAAGTGTGGAAATCAATTTTCATGCATCCCAAATCACAGCATTGGTTCACTTGTACACTTTTAAGAGGTCACGTACTACCACTACATCAAAGACATGCTCATTTACATTCTGTGCTGTTTTGACCCTCATCTGAACGCTCTATTTTCTGAAGTAAACACCCTCTGCTCTGATTGGCTGACAGTTTTGCATATTAGTAAGTCTAAACAGGCAGTAAAGTCTGTTTTTATCTTGAACGCTCAAGACTTTTAGAAATGAATGTGAATGCCAGTGTTTAGTTAAATAGTAACATTTAAAGAAAAATGTCTAAAATGCATTAAAACTGCTGCAGAAAGAGGACGTTTCTGGAAAGTCTGTGTTTTCTACAGCGTAAACTATAGTATAAATTAACATTACTATGGTATTTATTCATTTGGAAGGGTCATGTTGAGCATCTTAAAGCATTTAAAAGTGTTGTTAACTCATGAAAACGGTTCATTTTACCTATTGTTACGCATCTTCTCCTATTTAATCCTCTTAATTGTTTATTCTTGTTGGTCAAAACTGTTTTAAATGTGTTGAGTGAGAAACAGCACGTGTGAATCAGTGTGTTCGCCCTCTGCTGGTGGATATCTGCATGCACACTTCAGTTTGACTATTGTTTGAAAGAGTGTGTGAGATAGTATGTGTGTAACAGTGTTTAAGAGTGCCTGTGCGTTTAACTGTATATGTGCGTGCTTGTGTTTGTGTGTGTGTGAGAGAGAGAAAGTATGTGTGTGTGTGTGTGTGTGTGTCTGAAGATAAATTGCGTTACATTATATTTTAACTATTAAACAAGTATATTAGACATGATGAATGCAGCTCAGCTGTATCTACAGTATTTACGTTCATATCCCTTATGGAAATCAAGCAGAAATGTACACTTATAAACAGTAAGAGAAGGCCGGGGGGTGTTGAGGTCACTGATTATCATGTATAATCATAGTCAAACTCTGCTCGTGTCATGGATTTTCCTGGTTCATTTGCGGTTCAGCAACAAAAGGCATGTGTGTATTAGCAGATAATGTATAGTCAGTGTTGGGGAAGTGTGTGATTTCAGATATTTCACTGTGTTCTGCAACAGCTCTGGGAAGGAAGTGTCCACACACACACACACACACACATGCACGTGCGGATGAGTGTGAATGAAATGCGGAATATGATGGCAGAGAGGAGAATCAATCTGCACCTCTGCATAACACTAATATGATCAAATAATATAATGAAATGACAGACATCTTCACATATCTAGTCATGGAAACATCATCTCAGCATGTTCAGACTCACAGTGTGCAGCTTCCTGAATACACCACACTGAGGGAATGTTCTGCTTATCCTGAGCTGATGCTGTGGTGGTCATGGAGGACTGGAGATCATGGTTCCTGTAAGACCCCAGTGACAGACGAGGCTCTGTATTGATCCTGTGGGCCAGCCTGTACACCAGCCATGACCTCTCCCACCTGCAGCTTCTCCACAATGGACGTCCAGCGCTCTCCAGCGCCTAGACTGCAGCTCTGTGCAGGAAGTTCGGCTAGAGGAGAAATGGTGGTGCTCCACTGAGCCTGGTTTCTCTCCTTCACTTTGGTCAAGTGGTTGAGTTTGTTCCTCCACTGTCCTGCTTGGTTTGGGTCTTGCGTTTCTGAGCATGGATGGATTTGCTCTTCAGTGTTTGCACTTTCAGCAGTGAAGATTAAAGCACACTGAACTGAACTTAAACACTGGACTGACACAGCTTCAGTTTACTAGAACTTCAGTGTTCAGCTGCTGCCACACACTCTACACTGCGGACGCGCAACAGGAATACAGATGAACTGACCTGAATAGACTTTTGCAGTTATTAGGAGATCATATGTTGCTTATGAAGACAGATTTCAGAGCACCAGCAGATGTCACACACACACACACACACACACTGGTGTCCTAACGGAGGAAGTGAAAGCATGAGCTCATTTCACGTTTCCCCTTTTAGATGTCGCAGTTACGTGAATAAAACCAGAGTTTATTCTGTCGTGCAGATGCTGAAGATTCTATTCCTGCTTAATTCTGGAGAGATCCGTCATGCTGTGAAACTCATGAGATCACAGAGACACGCTTAAATATTTATCTGAGAAATGTGTGTGTGTGTGTGTGCATTTGTGGAATCACACACACACTGTAAAAGTATCTGCTGATGAACGGTTTCTATATTGTGTGTGTTTTATGTTTATTTGCGGTGGTGATCTGCATTATGGGATGTTGATCTCTGCTCTGTCCACTTCTGATGTTGTAAATTCAACTCTACAGTTTAACAAAGTGACCTTTACTGACATTTTAGTCGACTGAAATAGTAATATAATGCATTGGTAATAATATCTAAAGAAATAAGCCTGTAAAACAGCAGGACATGTGCTGTCGGTTTAGTACAAGGTTTCTGTAGCGTAATATACAACACCAACACACACAATACAGCACTGCACACTAATACACACATCATGTTTAAGGTTAAAAGTTGTTGGAAGAAAGATCAAGATCCCATAACGCAATTTAAAAGCATAAATAAATTAGGAAAAATAAAAAAAAAACATTCCATCCTAATTTACAGATATATTTTAAAGTGCTTGGTGTCCAAAAATGCTTTAATTATTATATTAAGTGGTGTTAACAACTATGTGCTCATAGTAAAAATAAAAAATAAACATATGCACAAACTAATCATTTAAAAAAATGTAATTACACACAGATAATTAAAAATAAATACAATGTAAAAACATGCATGTACACTATCTGAATGAGAAGACTAGTGCTAGATCCTCCAGTTGAAGAGCAGCAGATAATACCTGGTCTTCTAGTTAATGATGTGTGAAAGTGTGAGAAGGTGGATTTCTCTGCTGGATCATCTGTTGATCTGCATCACAATCATCACCAATACTGCAGAAGACCTACTGGAACCAGCATGGACCAAGATTCTCACAGTGATCAGTCAAGTTTGGTGAAGGAGAAAGCATGGTTTGGGGGTCATTCAGTATGGAGAGATCTGCAACATCAACAGCCTGAGGTATCAAGACATCTGTGCTGCCCATTACATTACAAACCACAGGAGAGGGACAATTCTCCAGCAGGATAGCGCTCCTGCTCATACTTCAGCCTCCACATCAAAGCTCCTGACAGCAGAGGAGGTCAAGCTGCTGCAGGATTGGCCAGCCCAGTCACCAGATATGAACATTATTGAGCTGATGAAGGAGCAGGCGTTGAAGATGAACACAAAGACTCTTGATGAACTCTGGGATCCTGCTGAAGCTTTCTTCTTCATTCCAGATGACTTTATTAATCAGTGATGTGAGTCATGTCAGAGATGTATGGATGCAGTCCTCCAAGCTCATGATGGAGTCAGACACAATCTTCATTCTGTCTCCACTGCAGCAGGACTTTATATTCTATACTGGACATTATTTCTGTTCAGTGATGACACTTTAGTCTGAGCAGAGTCAGAGCGCACTGTCCTCATCAAATCAGTCAACATCAACACATGATCAGATTTATTGAGCTCAAATCAGCAAAATCTAGAGGCCTTCACCTTTCACAGAGACACTTCTGACACCAAATCAGCAACTAGAGTCCAGTTATTATTTGCTGTTTCTAAAACTAGAATAGGCCACAAGACTTGTGTCAGGTTGTGAACACAATATAAGTGCACTGCATCAAATGCTTCATTTAAATGCAAGTACACAGTAATTAAGGACACTTAATATAAAGTTGATGCGTATGCTACTTAACGCATTAGCAAATGCTGTGACCTAGTTTTAAAATAGAAACTAAAAACAGACGACCATTTTGAAGGTTTATTTTTACATTAATAACTCTGGGGTGAGAAACTGACGCCTTTTAAAGGGGCAGTCATCATTTACTGATCCTCAAACCTTAGTCTGCTGTATCTAAAGGAAGAAAGCTGGAAACTGATCTGTAACTGACGGTCATATTATGTTTCTCCAACTCCCCTTGCTTTTATACAGTTTTCCCCAGCAGGTGTCGCTAGCCTGAGGAGATTCGAACACTTCACTGAATCGTTTAACGACGCAAATGGTTCAAATGATTCAAACCTTTAATTACCCAGTGGTAATTAACACACGTTGGTATAAACTACTATAACAGCTGCACATGATCTCTTCACGTGGCTCTTGTCAAATATAGAACGGGAATAAAGGGCTGAGAAAAACACTCACCGACCTCCAAGGCGCAGACGCCGACTGATGATCGCGATTCATGAGAAGATCCCGGATGACGTCATCGCAAGGTTAAAGGTCATCATGTTGGCGACCTTTATTTTGTTCATGCATGAAATATCAATAATTATTTTAATAATAATTAGATTTGACAGGCTGTCCCCAAAAGCCATTTGATTGCATTAAGAAAAGGGGATTTTGGACATTACGGGGCTAAGATTATGCCAAAACTTTAATATTGTATATAATAATATAATATTGTATGTAACACTGTAACTGTATAAACTGAGTTCTGTATTATTCACACTAGTATTGATTTATAGTCTTCATACTGACCCCAGATACCCAGAGTGTGTGTGTGAGTGTGTGTGTGTGTGTGTGTACGTGTTTTTGTGACATATCAGGACACAAATCTGTATAATGACATGGGTATGACACACCCATGTGTGTGTGTGTGTGTGTGCGTGTGTGTGTGTGTGTGTGAGTGTACAGGGATACAAACTTGTGTCTGAGTGTGCGTTTGTATTTGTGTATGTATGTGCGCGTGTGTCTGTGCATGTGTGTGTGAGTGTGTGAATATGTGTGTGCGCGCTCTAAAAGAGGAGCTTCTTCTTTCAGCAAAACCAACGGCTGCCAGGAACACTGAGAGCACAGAGATCATGTCGTCACACGGAGACTGAAATAACTTTAATTAAATAATTAAATTTACATTCATCAGCTACTATCAACCAAGATCTATAATATTTACATATATATTTTACATCAGTACATACACACACACGCGCACACACACACATGTACTTTACAATAGTAATCTCTCCACTCATTTCCTCCACAGCATTCTGAACTACAGCTGATAAACCTTCAGTCAGCGTGTGTGATGTTGTGCTTCTCCTCGCTGCTGCTGCTTTCTTTGCTGTCAGTCCCTGAGAATAAAGCGAGTGTGAAGATATCCATGCAGAGCTGACAGGTGTGTGTGTGTGTGTGTGTAATCTCCAGCATTGGGGTGAGTATAGATGAGGAAATCTCTGCTGGAACACCGCAGTATTAACACTGAGTGACTGACCCCAGCTGATCAGTCTTACTTTACAGTCACTATTGATCCGCAGCTGCTTTGCTGATTGATCATCAGTGTTTGTTGATGAAGCCAGCGCGCGCTCTCGTATCTCAGAGTGTGTGAGAGAGTTTCTTCATTTGTCAGCTGCTTTACCGGTGACCTTCTTCTTGCGAATGGAAACCAGATCATAGAAGGGATCTTTAGTGATGCTGGCCCTGTGGACACACACACACACACACACACACACACATACACACACACACACACACACACACACACACACACACGATTCAGTTGTTCCAATTTAAGGAATGGAAAAATTATTGAAATGTACCTGTGCTTCTAGAATGTGTGTGTGTGTGTGTGTGTGTGTGTGTGTGTGTGTGTGTGTGTGTGTACCTGATGGACTCTATCCACTGGTCTCTCTCCTCCGCTGTAGATGCGCTGATGGTGTATGACTGGTGTTTTCCCTCCACCACGCGTCCGTCTGTCTCCGTCTTACAGGCTTTGATCTTCTGCCCTCGACTGTTGGGGTTGTAGAGCTCCAGACAGTACTGCATAGGTCAAAGGTCAGAGGTCAAAGGTCAACTATTACTAATGTTAACCAAACCCACAGTCTAGTCTATGGATGGATGGAAAAATGTAAAGACAGACAGATGATAGATAGACAGACAGACAGACAGACAGACAGACAGACAGACAGACAGACAGACAGACAGACAGACAGACAGACAGACAGACAGACAGATAGATAGATAGATAGATAGATAGATAGATAGATAGATAGATAGATAGATAGATAGATAGATAGATAGATAGATAGATGTGTTCTCACCGGTTTGCGTTGAAAGATGACTTCTCTGACACACAGATTCTCCAGAGGAATGATCCCGCGTGGCTCTTTATCCTGAACACACACACCGTCATCAACCCTGATCCACAAACACACCTACATTTAATCATTAATATTAATAAACATCACTCTTACCGTGGTGTATTCAAAATAATACAGGCAGTTATCAGTCAGGATGAACCAGCGGCGCTTCCACGTCTTCACACGACCGCCTGCAGGTGACAACAATACAGGATTAATGCTGATAGCTTACATTTTATACATTACATAAAAAAAACAAAAGAAACTTAACAGTAGTAGTGGTCTTTTAAAAGTAATGCTTTAAAATGTTGCTCTAATTATTTATAAAATAAAATAATTAATTAAGTTTGTGTTCATTTGTGTGCTTGCTTGCTTTCAACAATATAAAACAACAGTTTCTGAAATTAATTTTAATTTTATATTAAATACAAAACAAACTAACAAAAATAAAACAGTGCTAAAAACTCAATAGTAGTCTTTTAAAAGTAACATTGCAATTTTGCTGTAAAAAGTCATGTGTTAAGTAGCTTTTAAGGAAAGTCATACATTTTTGTGTAACTTTATGCACTTGTTGGTTTGTAATAAAATAAAACATCAAGTTATTAATTATTCCGCTGATGTAACAGGAGGGATAAGCTCCACCTCCACATAAGATTGACGCCCACTTCTACTTCACTATCTGATTAGTCTTGTTAATATGCAAGACTGTCAGCCAATCAGAGCAGTGGGCGTTGACTTCTAAGTCTACAAACGGTCACTGGTCATTGCAGTGGCTCTGAAATGGTCTACAATGACCCACTCAAACAGAGCGTTCTGTAGAGTCACTTACAACAGTCAATTATTTACAATACTGAGTTGTATTTCGACATCTTAATAATTATATAAGTTTTTAAAATATTGTTTCTCATTTTACCCAATTTGAGCAGCCATCCTTCCCGATCTGGGTTGAAGAAAGTGTGGGTCAGATCATTCCCATCATCCTCTGGGATCTTGAACGGTTCGTTGCGAATGCTGTTGTACAGATTCTGATGAGACCAAAAGAACGACAATTTAATATATTTATTACTATTAAACAAAACCAAGCTGCTTTATCTCTATTCATCCTGCAAAAGATGTCAACTGTTTAACTACAAATCCTCTCTGTAATATGAAAAGGTTTCATCATTTCTTCCTAATACTTCCATCCTTTTTATTCAGTTTGCATTTGTACTTGTAATTATAAATTGCAAATAATTATTTAATTTGTTTTACTAAGAGATTTGTATTGGAGATAAATGTAAACTACGCAAACGTTGAACTATAATTATTTAATCTAAAGCCAAAACTATAAAAACTAAACAGAAATGTGTTCTCAAAAAACTAAAACTATTTATTTTATTTTTTTATTTATTTTTTTATTTATTTTACAGTTAATTTCCATTACAGTTCCGTTATGTCCTGGATTACGTATACTGAATATGTATGAAGTCAGTTGTGCTTTGTCTACTAAAGTAAGAAAATTGATTGATTTATGTTCAATACAAGGGCGACGCGGTGGCGCAGTAGGTAGTGCTGTCGCCTCACAGCAAGAAGGTCACTGGTTCGGTTCTCCCCGTGTTGGCGTGGGTTTCCTCCAGGTGCTCCGGTTTCCCCCACAGTCCAAACACATGCGCTATAGGGGAACTGGGTAGGCTAAATTGGCCGTAGTGTATGAGTGTGAATGAGTGTGTGTGTGGATGTTTCCCAGAGATGGGTTGCTGCTGTTAGGGTATCCGCAGTGTAAAAACGTGCTGGATAAGTTGGCGGTTCATTCCGCTGTGGCGACCCCGGATTAATAAAGGGACTAAGCCGAAAAGGAAATGAATGAATGAATGTTAAATACAGGCAAGGTGTTGAATTGCTTTACATTGGAAAAATGTTAATTGCCCCTCAATTGGACCTTGTTTGAGAAACTGTGTAACATGTTTGGCGCTTGAAAAGCTCACATATATAATAAGGAAAAAATCTCTGAATTTTGGGATAAAATAGAGATATTGAAGAAGCTTTTGAGGTTGTGGAATATGAAGTGGTACTTGATTAGATTTTTTAAATTTTAATTAACTGATTTAGTTTAATATTATTATTATTATTATTATTATTTTATAAGGATTATTAGTTATTTTTTATTTTTCCTTAAACCTATCTGTGGTAAGTTTTGTGTGTTGGGTTTTGAATTATTGTAAAACCTTAAAAAAAAAACTCAAAGACATGTCTTACAAAACTAACAGCATCATTACTGAAACAAAACCTGAAATTTACAGCAAATTTAAAATACAAGGTTTACTTGTTTTGTTAATTTAAATGTTTATCGAATGTTTTGCATACATAATATGTGAAAAAAGGAATAAATAATTATTTTTAAATCTTCAATAAAACATTTTAGAACCAAAATATTTGCATTTAAATAATTGAAAATAATTAAATTGCTTTAAAAAGCTAATTTAAATATGCAAAACTATAATAACATTGCAATGGAAAATACATAATGCATTTATTAATTTTCCTTCGGCTTAGTCCCTTATTTATTAGGGGTCACCACTGCGGAATGAACCGCCAACTATTTCAGCATATGCTTCCAGCTGCAGCCCAGTACTGGGAAACACCCATACACACTCACTCATTCACACACACACACCCATACACTACAGCCAGTGTAGTTGATCAGTTCCCCTATAGCGCATGTGTTTGGACTGTGGGGAAAACCGGAGCACCCGGAGGAAACCCACACCAACACGGGGAGAACATGCAAACTCCACACAGAAACACCAACTGACCCAGCCGAGACTCAAACCAGAGACCTTCTTACTGTGAGGCCGCAGTGCTGACCACTGAGCCGCCCTCAATACACACAATTATAAACAGTAATAAAAATGCAGTCATTCATTGTTAATTAACTAATGTAAACAAGCACCAATTAGTAAGTTAATAAGTAAATATTGAACTGTGATTATTAATAAATGCTGTACCAGTATTGCTTATACTCATTTTATATTAGGATTTACAATAACTAATGAACCCTTATTGTAAAGTGTGACGATTTATAACCCAAACCTTCAGAGAAGACCTTATTTTTGCTGTACGAAAAGACACAGATGGACACACACACACACACACACACACACACACACACATTCACCACACGTTTCCTGTTCCTGCTGCTTATTTATGTAAAAGTTCAGTGCTGCTGATGAATAAGGAACAGCAGAGTTATTTTAGCTCAGCTCGAGCGTTCTCACTGTTTATCTTTAGTTCCTCTAGAGCGTCACGTGACCAGCGAGCCCTGCTCTGATTGGATGCTCACCGTCAGTAGGTCGTCAGGAAGGTCTTCTCCGTTGTTGATGCCGCGGTTCATGCTAATGAAGCGCTCTAGCGTAGTTTTGTCCTTTACATTGGGGTTATGAAGACTGGTGTTCAGCATGATGATGGCGAACGACAGAATATAACACGTGTCTAAGGAACAAACAAACACTCAGTCAGTTAAGAGGTCATTGGTGCACTGTGAAGTTTTAAAGAGCACCTATTAAGTAGAAATGACTTCTATAAGAGGTTTAAACACAGGTCATGTGTGGATATCTCCAGCCTCTAATGCTCAACATGAATCAATTGTATTGTTCATAATCACACTGTGACTGACTTTCTCTCTCTGTACGTGTCATCAGAGGGGGAAAGCCCCGCCCACTAGTCTCCCTCATTAGTATATCAGCAGCCCTGAGCCAGAAGTAGCCGTCTGTCCATTAGTCAGAGAGATAGATAGATAGATAGATAGATAGATAGATAGATAGATAGATAGATAGATAGATAGATAGATAGATAGATAGATAGATAGATAGATAGATAGATAGATAGATAGATAGATGGATGGATGGATGGATGGATGGATGGATGGATGGATGGATGGATGGATGGATGGATGGATGGATGGATGGATGGATGGATGGACAGATAGACGGACAAACACAGATACAAAGATAGATAGATAGATAGATAGATAGATAGATAGATAGATAGATAGATAGATAGATAGATAGATAGATAGATAGATAGATAGATAGATAGATAGATAGATAGATGGATGGATGGATGGATGGATGGATGGATGGATGGATGGATGGATGGATGGACGGATGGATGGACAGATAGACGGACAAACACAGATACAAAGATAGATAGATAGATAGATAGATAGATAGATAGATAGATAGATAGATAGATAGATAGATAGATAGATAGATAGATAGATAGATAGATAGATAGATAGATGGATGGATGGATGGATGGATGGATGGATGGATGGATGGATGGATGGATGGATGGATGGATGGATGGATGGATGGATGGATGGATGGATGGACAGATAGACGGACAAACACAGATACAAAGATAGATAGATAGATAGATAGATAGATAGATAGATAGATAGGTAGATAGATAGATAGATAGATAGATAGATAGATAGATAGATAGATAGATAGATAGATAGATAGATAGATAGATAGATAGATGGATAGATAGATAGATAGGTAGATAGATAGATAGATAGATAGATAGATAGATAGATAGATAGATAGATAGATAGATAGATAGATAGATAGATAGATAGATAGATAGATAGATAGATAGATGGATGGATGGATGGATGGATGGATGGATGGATGGATGGATGGATGGATGGATGGATGGATGGATGGATGGATGGATGGATGGATGATGGATGGATGGATGGATGGATGGATGGATGGATGATGGATGGATGGATGGATGGATGGATGATGGATGGATGGATGGATGGGTGGGTGGGTGGGTGGGTGGGTGGGTGGATGGATGGATGGATGGATGGATGATGGATGGATGGATGGATGGATGATGGATGGATGGATGGATGGATGGATGGATGATGGATGGATGGGTGGGTGGGTGGGTGGGTGGGTGGGTGGGTGGATGGATGGATGGATGGATGGATGGATGGGTGGGTGGGTGGGTGGATGGATGGATGGATGGATGGATGGTTGGATGGATGGACAGATAGCTTCTCTTAGGCTCAGCTTACACTGCCAGTTAAATGTGACCCAATTCAGATTTTTGGCTCTTATGTGACACAGATCAGACCTGTTCTATGACCGTGTAAACATAAATTAAACACATGCATTCAGATATTCAGAGATATGAAATAAATCAGATATGAATCAGATATATGACAGTGTGACTATCATGTAAACAGGTTAATTGGATATATTGAGGAGTTCTGTTTTATACGTCATTAAACTTGTGACACTGTGGTACTTCTCCATGGTTTAATGAAGGAAGAGCGTGTGTGGAGACGCAGACGCGGTGAACAACAACAGCAGAGGAAACATGAAGCCACAACTTGCTCCCACCAGCGCTGAGATCTCTGTCATACTCACAAATTCCTCTGAATGGTGGTGGACAGCATATATAAACCATAGGCACAAGCTGCAATGACGGCTTTCCTCCTCCTCCCCCTCAACCTCATTTTAAAGTTGGGTGAACACCACATATTTCACAGAGCTAAAGGCAAGACGATTTCTTCCATCGTGGCTAGTGTGGTGCAGATGCTAAAACCCGCCTTTAAGCTTGCGCAACATCGTAAATTGTATAGCAAGTGTAAACACATGAATCACACTGCAAAAAAATGCTTTTCTTGCTTAGATTTTTTGTCTTGTTTCTAGTCTAAATATCTAAAATTTCTTATATCAAGAAGCATTTTTTAAACAAGCAAAATATATTGCCTTGTTTTGAGAAATAATATGCCAATATTAAGTCAGTTTTTCCTTAAAACAAGCTAAATAATCTGCCAATGGGGGAAGCAAATTAATCTTGTTTTTTCTTTTGACGTAAGATTATTTTCCTTGATTAAAACACCAGAGTGACAGTAGAGTTCCCAGCTATATCCATCTACAAAATATTCAAGCGTTCACCCTCAGCTGATGATTGATTATAAAGTGTGTTTGGCATGCTGTCCCGGGAGAGAGCCCTGAGCTCATAAGATCCTCGAGCCCAGGGCTCCCTCCCATTGCAGGGCGAGAGGGGAGTTTGAGCTCAGGTAGATCTGGAGATAGTGATCGCTTAAGTGATTGGTTTAGAGATATCTACTGACTAGCAGCATGTCTATGGTGCTGATTTGGATTAGTCAGTTAACTTAAGCTGCATGTTTTTGGACGGTGGGAGGAAACTGGGGAACCTGGAGAAAACCCCCTGAGGACTTAGAGAACGTGTAAACTCTGAACAGAAACATCAGCTGGCTTGGTAAGGACTAGAGCCAGTGACGTTCTTGCTGAGAGGCAACAGTGCTAACCACTGAGCCACCGTGCCACCCATCTAGGAAAGGAGGAGGAGTAGGGGAGGAAGACAAAGATGACTGTGGTATTAAACTTAGGTTATTTGTGGTGACTTAGGAATCGTCTCATTGGTGAATCATGAATTGGCTAATGCAGGACCAGCTGTGATCAATCATAAGCATATGATCCTCTCAACATTACTTCATAAACAACATTTACTAGTCTTAGTACACGACGTAATATAGAACGGTCAAGCTTTGAATAGCTTTGAATTACTTACAAACTTTGTATGTGTGTGTGTGTGTGTGTCACCTGTGGACTGGAAGACGCTGATGTTGCAGTTGCAGTAGCGCGTGGCGAAGGCCTCCATCATGCGGTCGATCTTCTGCGCTTCACCCGGCAGACGGAAACTCCATAAAAACTGCCTGATAATAAAAACAGAGCAGGAATCACACACACACACATACACACACACTCAGCACATGCAGAAACACCGACAGGAATCACACACACACACATACACACACACTCAGCACATGCAGAAACACCGACAGGAATCACACACACTCAGCACATGCAGACGCAGGAGTGCTAAGGGCTCTTTTTAGCTATCTAAATGCAGTCTAAAGCACACAGTACAGGGGCACTTAGGACAAGTCCACTTCTATTATTTTAAAGATGACCCATTCTTCCCAATACAAGATGTAAAATGAGTCTCAAGAATGTGTGTCTTTACACAGTAAAGTGTAAAGCACTTTACTGTGCTTTCCAGCTCAGTAAAGTTTGAGCTGAGAAGAGCACACAGATAATGCTCTCCAGCTCTCTGAAACTGACCCTTTTAGAGGCTTTGATCCTAATTGTGGTGTTTTTATGACTTTAAATGCAAATGAGATTGTGCTCTTTTCAGAAGAGGGCGGAGCTACAGACGGCTGTGCATCACCATAGCGACAGACTAAAAACGGGACTAGTGTTATCAGTGTGAAAAAGTGACTGCCTTCATTGGAGACTCTACGTTTCACATCTCCACAACATGTTCGTTATTGAAACAGCATGCTGCAGGACGTCAAAACGAAACCTGCGCCAGCCTGACACTACAAATAAACACTTGTGTTGAGCCTGACGTGTATGATAGAGTGTGATGTCTCACCGTAAGGCCTGCACCAGGTTCAGGTCAGAGAATTCGTGCAGCTCCACAAACGCCTTGAGAATCTGCAAGTGCATCTCCTCCCTGCACACACACACACACACACACACACACACACACACACACACACACACACGTCTGTTATAGAATACTGTAGACATATTGCTATGGCACTCCATTATCCATCCAGTGTGTCACGCCTCATTTAAGTTGTTATATTAATTTTTATTCTTATTTATCAAAAATAAATTTATATAAATAAATATATTAATAAATAAAATATATATTCTCAAATTTGCATAATAAATAAGGCTCCATCATACACTCACCGGCCACTTTATTAGGTACACCTGTGCAACTGCTCGATAACGTTAACTAATCAGCCAATCACACGGCAGCAGCTCACTGCATTTAGGCATGTAGACATGGTCAAGAGGATCTGCTGCATCAGAATGGGGAAGAAAGGGGATTTAAGAGACTCTGAACGTGGCATGGTTGTTGCTGGCTGCTCTGAGTATTTCAGAAACTGCTGATCTACTGGGATTTTCACGCACAACCATCTCTAGGCTTTACAGAGAATGCTCCGACACAGAGGAAATATCCAGTGAGCGGCAGTTCTGTGGGTCAAAGGTCAGAGGAGAATGGCCAGGCTGGTTCCAGCTGATAGAAAGGCAACAGTAACTCAAATAAGCACTCGCTACAACCGAGCTCTGCAGAAGAGCATCTCTGAACACACAACACGTCCAACCTTGAGGCGGATGGGCTACAGCAGCAGAAGAGCACACCGGGTCTTGAGGGAATTTGGCCTCAACAACATGAAAGCATGGATCATCCTGCCTTGTATCAGCGGTTCAGGCTGGTGGTGGTGGTGTAATGGTGTGGGGGAGATTTTCTTTGGGTCCATTAGTACCAATTGAGCATCAACGCCACAGCCTACCTGAGTATTGCTGCTGACCATGTCCATCCCTTTATGAGCACAGTGTCTCCATCTTCTGATGGCTACTTCCAGCAGGATAACGCAGCATGTCATAAAGCTCAATCATCTCAGACTGGTTTCTTGAACATGACGATGAGTTCACTGTACTCAAATGGCCTCCACAGTCACCAGAGCTCAATCCAATAGAGCAGCTTTGGGATGTGGTGGAACGGGAGATTGGCATCATGGATGTGCAGCCGACAAATCTGCAGCAACTGTGTGATGCTATCATGACAATATGGAGCAAAATCTCTGAGGAATATCTCCAGCAGCTTGTTGAATCTACACCACAGAGGAAGCCAAGTAAGGTGTACCTAATAAAGTGGCCGGTGAGTGTATACTAGTGTACAGATGCATCATAAATTGTCCAGATTTGATGATTTACTGAATACAGGATAATTATTTCAAAAGGTTATGTTTTAATCTCACTCTACACCCGGCAGAGTGTTTCAGAGCGAGCCATAATTACATGCTTTCACATTCATGCTCTTAGAAATATAAAATTTTAGCCATTTCTATGACTTTTTCCAGGTTTACAAAAATCTGTTATAATAAAGCTACTCAACTGAACACAGCTTTATTTCCTGCCATCATTTTCACTGTTAAAACAATATCTGATAATTAACCGGTTTCATTTTATTCATTGTTTACAGGTTTGTTTCTATTTACAGATCATGCAAATTCAGCTTTTTATTACTGTTTATGTAAATTCAGCAGTATAACCAAGCGACTTTAATGGACATTTTACAATATGTCATATGCGAAATAAGAATATAACTCTTTAGATTGTATAAAATAAAGAATAAATAAGATGTGCAGATGCTGCTGTGTGCACCATACTGGAAAAAAAAAAAACTCATTGAGGTTTTTTATTTTCTGTAGTATATTTATTAACTGTTTGGAAATCATTTTGACTGGGATCATATTGTAAGTGAGAGCATCTGCATAAAATATAATAAACAAATCATAAGCAAGCACACATACAAACAACAGAGCAAAGATACAAGAGAAATAAAATAGTATAATATGGTGTTCAGGTGAATAATTGAAGATTCAAGTGTAAAAACACACTATAGTCTACTGTGTATAATTCGATGTATTATACAAATAACCATGTTTAAAAGGCAGCCACTCGACTCCTTTATCAAGAGGTAAGATGAGTCTTGTGTCTCCAGAATGTGTGTGTAAAGTGTCAGCTCAAACACTCATCAGATTATTGATCAGAGCTTTCAGAATGTTGGATTTTCAGCTCTGAGCACACTGGAGCTGTTTTAGTATTGTGTTTCTATCAGCCCAGTATGACTGTGGACACACTATACCACACACAGCTCCGTCCACACAGCGCACAGAAGAGCATTTACAGCACAGCTGCCCTTTACAGCTGTTATGATTCAACTGCACAAATGGCTGAACTGTGAAGCAGCCCTACGTGTGTGAAGTGTGTGAACAAGATAAAAGATAAATATGATGCTCAGATGTTGTTGTGTTGTGTTGTGTTGTGTTGTGTTGTGTTGTGTTGTGTTGTGTTGTGTTGTGTTGTGTTGTGTTGTGTTGTGTTGTGTTGTGTTGTGTTGTGTTGTGTATCACCTTTCCCCCAGGAAGTCTCCGATGGCCGTTTTGTTCAGACCTTCCTCTTTATACAGAAACTCTGCCACGCGCTCCGCTTTCCAGTCCAGCAGACCGTTGTCCACCAGAAACCTGATGCCCTGAAACACAGAGATAGAGGAGATACAGCTGTGCACACACACACACACACACACACACACAGAGAGATCCTGCACGGCAGATTCTGGGGAATCTCCTGCAACACACACACACACACTTCCTTTTTCTACAGAACAACGAAAGAAAGAAAAACCTCCAGCACGCACAGACACACACACACACACACACACACTCACACACACTCAAACACACATACACTTAAACTGATAATCACACACAAGCAGACACACATGCACACACACACACACTCAAAACACACTCATACACACAATAAAACAGACACACAGGGAAACACACACACACACACACACACACACTCAAACAGATAATCACACTCAGACACACTCAAACTGAAACACACACATACACAGACACACAAACACACACTCTAACGGACACACACTCAAACAGACACACACACAAACTTAAACGTACACACACACACGCACTCAAACAAACACACACACACACACAATAACACACATATTCACTCAAACAGGTAGACAGACACACACACATACACTCAAACAGACACACTCACACACACACACACAAACAGACACAGAGACACACACACTCAAAAAGACACACACAGACACACTCGCAGACACACAAACAAACACACACACAATAACACACATATTCACTCAAACAGGTAGACAGACACACACACACACACAAACAGACACAGAGACACACATACACTCAAATACTGAACTGAACATCACACACACACACACACACACAGAGAACTGAACATCACACACACTCAAATGAACCAGTGTACTTGTGTGTGTTTCACTGTGTAAGTTTGTTTGGTGTGTGTTTCTCTGTGTAAATGTGTACGTGTGTAAGTGTGTGTGTGTGTGTGTGTGTGAGCTGATGGTGGTCTCGCTGTTCAACAAACAGCAGCAAAACCACAAAGACTCAAATCGAGAAACCAGAAGTATTTCAGGTGCGGACCTGAAGGAGGTTTGATCTGATCTTCTTCCCACACACACACACACACACACACACACACACACCTGTCTGTCACATTCACACACTTATAAACAGACACATTCAAACAAACAGACACACGTGTGCAAACAGATCTGAACCTGAACAATACACACACACACTCTCCTAAACGTGACATTTACATACACACACACACACACACACACACACACATTTATAAACACGAAATAAACAAAAAAAACTCTCACACATTCAAACAGACGCACACATGCACACACAGAACTGAACAATTCACAAACACACACACACACACACACACATACATGGACTCACACATCTTCATCCCAGACACACTTCTGTCTGGCACATACATACACACACACACACACACACAGCTAAATGAGTGTCTCTCTCCGTGTCTCTCCAGTAGTGGATCATACAGCATGTGTATGTGTGTGTGTGTGTGTGTGCGTTAACATCAAGTAGGTATGGCTGCAGCCCAGAGACCTCCAAGTGGGAGGAATTTAACCACTGGTAGGCTGGGTTTAGGTGGAGTGGGTGGAGCAGATGTTAATAAGACACATCAGGTGAGTGTGAGGTTGGGTTTAGGGTTGAGGTGGGTGTAGACGTTCATAAAGCACAACACTGGACTCTGTGTCAAGCACAAGACTTTCAATAAATAAGACCTCCAGCTGGCTCCGACCTCTGTTTAACATGGGGGTCTCAGATCAATAAAGGAGAGACAGAGAGACAGACGCTCCAATCGTCACCCCACAGTGGAAAACATCTTCTTCATCATCATCATCATCTTGATCATCCTCATCATCATCCTCTTCACCCTCTCACCTTTTTAGGGTCCATGTTGAATTTCTTCTTTCCACTGCTGAAGCGTTTTTCTCTCTCCAGTGTCTTACTGCAACAACAACAACAACAACAACCCTTTACACCTGAGCCGGAGTTACAGAGAGACACAACACAGATAATATTACAAACAACACTAACAACACCAACAACACCCCAGGAGATGCTGGACTCACTTGTCTTCTGCCGACTTGAAGTCCTGAATATCAGCCATCACATTCTCAATCTGACTCTTCAGTTTCTGGAAAACAGCAGGACACATCAGATGACCACACACACACACACACACACACACACACACATACACACACACAGACACACACACACACACACACACACACACACACACACACACACACAGACACACACACACACAGACACACACACATACACACACACTGACCCAAAAACACACATACACACACTTAACAAACAAACAAACACACACACACACAGACACTGACCAAAAAACACACGTTTAACAAACAAACAAACAAACACACACACACACACACACACACACACACTGACCCAAAAACACACGTTTAACAAACAAACAAACAAACAAACACACACACACACACACACACACACACACACACACACACACTGACCCAAAAACACACATACACACACTTAACAAACAAACAAACACACACACACACACACACACACACACACACACACACACTGACCCCAAAACACACATACACACACTTAGAAACGCACACAGACCCAAAAACATAAATACACACACTTAACAAACAAACACACACACACACACATATACTCACCCAAACATACGCTTGCAAGCAAACACACATACTGTAGATACACACACATACACACACTTACAAACACACACAGACCCAAAAACATATATACAAACACTTACAAATAAACACACACACACACACAAACTGATCCAAACACACACTTGCAAGCAATCACACACATACAAATACATATATAATTAAACACACATACACTGACCAACACACTGAGCCAAACAAACACAAACACAAACTTGCACACAATTACAAACTAACACACAAACCAGTCATCTTTCTGAACACCAACACACACTCGTTTCATTCACACACCGAGTGTTTGGTGTGTGTGTGTGTGTGTGTTCACCTCGATGTCCTCCAGCAGGATCTGCTTGTGGATCTTCAGCCGCTCGATCTCCATCTGCTCCTCCACCGTCAGCTCTGACACACACACACACACACACACACACACACACACACACACACACACACACACACACACACACACATAGCTGTCAGACTCTACACACATCACACCATATCGAGATAAAGATGTACACACACAGACACACACTCACTGTAAACACTGTAAACAGATTGTGTGTGTGTGGGTCTGTGTGTGTGTATTTTTATGTGCGAGAGTGTGTCTGTGTGTTTCTTTAAATGTGTGTGTTTGTGTATGTGTGTTTTTCTGTGGGTGATGCAGTAGTGCAGAAGGTAGTGCTGTGGCCCCACAGTAAGAAGGTCTCTGGTTTGAGTCTCGGCTGGGTCAGTTGGTGTTTCTGTGTGGAGTTTGCATGTTCTCCCGTGTTGGCATGGGTTTCCTCCGGGTGCTCCGGTTTCCCCCACAGTCCAAACACATGCGCTATAGGGGAACTGATCAACTACACTGGCCCTAGTGTATGAGTGTGCATGAGTGTGTATGGGTGTTTCCCAGTACTGGGTTGCAGCTGGAAGGGCATCCGCGGTGAAAGTTTCTCTGTGTAAGTGTGTGTACGTGTGTGTTTTTCTCTGTGTAAGTACGTATGTTTCTCTGTAAGTGTGTGTGTGTTTCTCTGTGTGTGTTTCTGTGTGCGTTCGTGTGGGTTTCCTCCGGGTGCTCCGGTTTCCCCACAGTCCAAAGACAAGTGGTACAGGTGAATTGGGTAGGCTAAATTGTCTGTAGTGTATGAGTGAGTGTGTGTGGATGTTTCCCAGAGATGGGTTGCGGCTGGAAGGGCATCCGCTGCGTAAAAACTTGCTGGATGAGTTGGCGGTTCATTCCGCTGTGGCAACCCCGGATTAATAAAGGGACTAAGCCGACAAGAAAATGAATGAATGAATATATATATGTGTGTCAAACACACACACACACACACACACACACAGCAGTGAGAAGCTCAGAGCTGAATTGATCATTGTGTGATGCAGAGAGTGATTGTCTGACGATAGAATAACTCAGCTGAATTCAGGAGGAACTGATCCCGAATAACACACTCATAATAATGACACACACGACACACCCCACACACACACACACACACACACACACACACATACTCGCTAATAAAATAGTGCTGCATAATTTTGGGCAAATCTAGCATCTGCTGTAGCGATAGAAAACTGGAATCAGTCAATATAATCAGCGTATTTTGGTGCATTTAAACAAAAGTGTTATTAAACAAATATATGTATTAATATAATACTTTAGTCACCAAACATGTTTAGAAATTAAAAAACAATACAAATAAATTTTTTGTATTTTTTTAAATTGAATGCTTTTAAAATCCTCAAGCAGTCAGAGACTTCACTATTGTGACTGATCAGACTACAATACCAGTGCTGAAACCATCCACCATGCAGCCCTTTAGTCATTCATTCATTCAGCTTAGTTCCTTATTCATCAGGGGTTGCCACAGCGGAATGAACCACCTACTATTCCAGCATATGCTTTACACAGCGGATGCCCTTCCAGCTGCAACCCAGTACTGGAAAACACCCATACACACACATTCACACACACACACACACACACTCATACAATTCGGCCAGTGTAGTTGATCAGTTCCCCTATAGCACATGTGTTTGTACTGTGGAGGAAACCGGAGCACCCAGAGGAAACCCACGCCGCAGGGAGAACATGCAAACTCCACACAGAAACACTAACTGACCAACTGAAGCTCGAACCAGCGACCTTCTTACTTATGCTAACCACTGGGCTACCATGTCACCCCAATTAAGTCATGAAAACATGAATTTTAAATGGTCTCTGAATGTTCAAAACAACAATTTTTCATTTTATTTATTTATTTTTTTGATGTTTTTGGTATGAAAATGTTAATTAAAATTTGCGGAAATGCTCTAATGTGAATAAAAAATAGAAATAAATATCTTATCATTGTGCAAACATTATGGAAGCATTAGTTTTACATTTAAAAAACATTCACATAACACACAACAAGAGAAAATATTACATAAAATTGACAATATGTCACTGCATAAAACTGAACCATGATTAATGAATGAACGTCAGTGTTTATTTAGTGTTGGTGTCTATATTAGTGTTATTTATTGAGCACTTATTTAGTTTATTAGAGCTCTGAGAAGGCATTTCTCTAGAACGTTTGTTCATAACCTTGAGGCAACGTTGCCGTAACATTCTGAGAACGTTCTCCATTAGAGGTTCAGTTACAGTTACAAATAAATGATGAAAATATTGTCCACATTGCTAGTGTTATGATCAAAAACACACACAACTGGACAAGTAAAAAACAATCAAACATCTGAAAGAACACCTATACTATACTACACACACACACACACACTTACATATATAACAAATATCTCCTCAGAGAGTGTCAGAAGCTGGGGAAAGTAGTTTAGTAATGAGTGTGTTACCTGTGTCGCTGCACTCCATCATTGTTTGTTTGGTGAAAGCTGTGTGTTTGTGCTCATGTCTGCATTCAGTGTGTGTCAGTGTGTCAGTGTGTGTGTGTGTGTGTGTCTGTGTGAGTTCCTCATCAGATCTACTGCCCTGCCCTGTGAACACCCGTTTCACACCAGAAGTCGAGCGCTTCCGCAGGAGGGGGACTTCACAACACCACAAACACACACACACACACACACACACACACACAGAGAGAGAGAGAGAGAGAGAGAGAGAGAGAGACATTAAACACACAGACACTAACATATACAAACACACAGAAATACACTCACACACACAAACATACACAAAACCTCACTAACATATACACCCTCACACACTGCCACCACAAGCACACACACACACCCTCACTTACTGCCACCATACACCCCCACACAAACAAACGCAGACACACTCACAGAGAGACAGAGAGAAAGAAACACACTCAAACATACACACATACATAGAAATACACTCACACACATAAACACACACAGACACAGACTTACAGAGAAATAGACACACACACACACACACACGCACACACACAGTGAGGTTGATATGGGGTCTACTGGCGCCCTCTGCTGCGCACTAATACACAACAGCTCACAAAAAAACACTTTCAAAAGAGCTCATATGACGCAAAAATCACCGTGTGTGAGCTGTTTAGACAGGAGTGTGTGTAGTAGAGTGTGTTTACAGTCATACTGGAGCGACAGAAACACAACCGGTCTCTTTTGTTTAATTTCCTGATGTAACGGAGGCCAGCTAGTGAAGTGCTGTGCAGGTAACCTCACTCCTCTGACCTCTAGAGGTGCTCTAGTGACAGACACTAGAGGCCATGGACTTTAGCCTCCTTGGTAGAGCAACCGTCGGTTCGATATCAACTCGGAGCAGGTTGGGTGGCATAGGCAACGTTTCTCCAATCTTCTATTGTCCAGTTTTGGTGAGTCTGTGTGAATTGTAGCCTCAGTTTCCTGTTCTTAGCTGACAGGAGCGGCACCCAGTGTGCTCTTCTGCTGCTGTAGCCCATCCGCCTCAAGGTTGGACGTGTTGTGTGTTCAGAGATGCTCTTCTGCAGAGCTCGGTTGTAGCGAGTGCTTATTTGAGTTACTGTTGCCTTTCTATCAGCTGGAACCAGTCTGGCCATTCTCCTCTGACCTCTGGCCTCATCAACAAGGCATTTGCACCCACAGAACTGCCGCTCACTGGATATTTCCTCTTTGTCGGAGCATTCTCTGTAAACCCTAGAGATGGTTGTGCGTGAAAATCCCAGTAGATCAGCAGTTTCTGAAATACTCAGAGCAGCCAGTAACAACCATGGCACGTTCAAAGTCTCTTAAATCCCCTTTCTTCCCCATTCTGATGCTCACTCTGACCTGCAGAAGATCCTCTTGATCATGTCTACATGCCTAAATGCAGTGAGCTGCTGTCATGTGATTGGCTGATTAGACATTTATGTTAACAAGCAGTTGGACAGGTGTACCTAATAAAGTGGCCGTTGAGTGTTGATTCATCAGTTTTGTGCATCTGAAAAACATCAGACCGCCTGTAGAGTGTGTGTGTGTGTGTTCATAATCGGTGCTCTTTCTAGTGGAAACATCAATACTGCAGTATCTCAGAGCAGATCGTTTCTCAGAAATGAAGATGAACAGATCATATAAAAGCTGACATTATGAGCTCCGCACTGGTTGAGTGGTTAGTTAAGAGACACTAACCAGTCCAAACAATCAAACGAACTCTCCATGACGATCTTCTCCCCGGCGTCGCCACGGCAACAGCACACAGATGCAAATGTGCTCCGATTAAAATAGTAAATAACAAGCAGCAGATTCAGATTCATTAGAGAAACTGTGTGTGAAGATACCAGAGTGAAGCGCTTGAGCCTGCTTTACTGAAGCAGTGCCCTCTGTGTGTGTGTGTGTGTGTGTGTGTGTGTGTGTGTGTGTGTGTGTGTGTGTGTGTGTGTGTGTGTGTAGTGCTAACACTACAGTGCTTTTTTTATCATTTTCATTCATTCATTCAATCTCTTTTCGGCTTAGTCCCTTTATTAATCAGGGGTCGCTACAGCGGAATGAACTGACAACTATTCCAGATCATGTTTTGATGGGTTGTTGTGACGGTCAGTAAATGATGTGCACGCTTTCGGTTTCATTTTCACTGCCAAGTGCGGTGCATACTTCCCATGAGGGGGGGTTGTGATGGTCACGGGGGGGGGGGATCGTGCTGGGGCCCCCTTATCGTGCGAGGCCCCCTACGGTGGGTGCCGTCCGCTACACCACTACTCAAAGTTTATGAGCACCAATAACTATGGTGGATTAAGGGTGGCACGGTGGCTCTGTGGTTAGCACTGTGGCCTCACAGCACTCATGTCTCTGGTTTGAGCCTCGGCTCGGTCAGTTGGTGTTTCTGTGTGGAGTTTGCATGTTCTCCCTGTGTTGGCGTTGGTTTCCTCCGGGTGCTCCGGTTTCCCCCACAGTCCAAACACATGCGCTATAGGGGAACTGATCAACTACACTGGCCGTAGTGTATGGGTGTGTATGGGTGTTTCCCAGTACTATGGAAGTGCATCTGCTGTGTAAAACATATGCTAAAATAGCTGTTGGTTCATTCCACTATGGTGACCCCTGATGAATAAAGGTAGGGTGGTCGAGAGAGCTTAACGCGCTGCAGTTTAAGAAAGCACATGCAATAACACAAGACACCAGCAAATAAAGAGACGATCCTCATCAGTTTGACAGCACACGTGTTGCACATCTCTCACAGCACAAACATCTGAGGAAACACACTGCAAATCGGCCACAACACTTGCAAATATCCACGTAACACAATGGAAATGTGTCAAGAGGAACCAAAAACATGACCCCGCTGAGATATGCATGTGTTTTTATTATGTATGTGGTGTAGTCCGGATATTGAAATAAATGAAGAACAACTCGCCTTTCAAAGAGCACCTGATCACTTCACTGACATCATAACACATCAAACCTCAGCAGGGTCCGTCATGGTTTTGGGTCCCCTAGAAACACTTCTATTGTGTTATGTGGATATTTGCAAGTGTTGTGGCCGATTTGCAGTGTGTTTCTTCAGGTGTTTGTGCTGTGAGAGATGTGCAACACGTGTGCTGTCAAACTGATGAGGATCGTCTCTTTATTTGCTGGTGTCTTGTGTTATTGCATGTGCTTTCTTAAACTGCAGCGCGTCAAGCTCTCTCGGCCAGCACATAAAGTACTAAGATGAAGGAAAATGAATGAGTGAATGAATGAATGAATGAATGAGTGAATGAATGAATGAATGAATGAATGAGTGAGTGAATGAATGAATGAATGAATGAATGAATGAATGAATGAGTGAATAAATGAATGAATGTTTCACCTGTGCAGTTGTTTCTCTCTCCGCACTGTTAATAAGTGCATAAACTGCCAAACCTGATAAATCCTAAATGTGCTGGAGTGCCAGAGGCGGATTATTTATAAGGACGGAGCTCTTATTTATTCATTCCCAGCACTCACTCAGGAGTTTCACGCTTCATTAAAAAAGTTAACTTTTTGTCTGGCAATTCTGACTGTGTTTGCCAGTGTTTTGCATGAAAAATAAGATGTGGAAAGTTGACTTTACCAGACAGCAGCATGAAAACTCGTCTTAAAGGAGACCTATTATCCAAAACTGACTAACTTAGCTACTATTTGTGAACAGTAGTAATTGTATAATTATTTTTATAGGTGACATGCCCAACACTGGCCGCTCCACATTTCTGTCAGATTAGTCCTTTAATTCATCAGGGGTTGCCACAGCGGAATGAACCGACAATTTATCCAGCATATGTTTTATCCAATTATCCAGCTGCAACCCAGTACTCGGAAACTCCCATACACCCTAATTTCTGTGTGGAGTTTGCATGTTCTCCCCATGTTGGTGTGGGTTTCCTCCGGGTGCTCCGGTTTCCCCCACAGTCCAAACACATGCGCTATAGGGGAACTGATCAACTACACTGGCTGTAGTGTGCGAGTGTGTGTGTAAATGAGTGTGTATGGCTGTTTCCTAGTACTGGGTTGTGGCTGGAAGATCATCCGCTGTGTAAAACATATACTGGAATAACTGGCGGTTCATTCTGCTGTGGCGTCCCCTGATGAATAAAGGACCTAAGCTGAAGGAAAATGAATGAATGACCAACACTATCAATCACTCTCACACTTGTAATCAATTCCCAGACTGAAAAACAACATCACATCATCAACAGCTGCCGAGAACAGTAAACCGTGTGTATTTCTGGAGAATCTACCACACGATTAAGCTCACTTATTCACTTCATGACCACTTTAAGCATCCTTGAGAGTATGTGAAACTGAACTAAGAAACCCAAAGCTCCAGATCTCCCGTGGAGCCTTACAGTGCTGTAATCCCTCAATTGATTTGGATGATAAATTCAGCATTCTGGACCGGCAGCGGGGGATCGATTATTATCCAGTCGACAGCAGAAACAACGTGTGTTAAAACAATCACAGATGAAGCACTGCTGTAACGTCAATCAGCTGCTGAATTACTGCACCGCAGGACTGCTTTACCTCATTCACTTACTCTGGTGTGAGTGTATAAGGAGCTGTGGAGTGTGTGTGTGTGTGTGTGTGTGTGTGTGTGTGTGTGTGTGTGTGTGTGTGTGTGTGTGTGTGTGTGTGTGTGGGTCGAGTGTGTGGAAAGTGTTTCGTGTCTTACTGATGATGAATAAACTGCTCATATTAAAGCCAAACGCTGCAGTCTGTCGAGCTTCATTGATGACACAAAATCCCGGTGCGTCTATATTTAAAAGCTTATTAATAAAGAATAAAAGCACAGAAAAAAAAAACTTAATTATGAAAAATGATGAAGGTTTTTGAAGAAATTATTGGCTCAGAAAAGCACACATGACAAAGATAATGTAAACTACTGAAAAGGTGTTTTAGATTATTATTTAGTGTATTATTGTTGTTTTTTGGCTATTAATATATTATTATTTTTATTATTATTATTATTTTATTATTACTATTATTACTATTATTGCGATTATTATTATTTTATTATTATTATTATTATTACTATTATCATTATTACAATTATTGTGATTATTAATATTTTATTATTATTATTATTATTATTATTATTATTATTATTATTCTTTTATTATAATTATTATTACTATTATCATTATTATTATTATTATTATTATTATTTTATTATTATTATTACTATTATCATTACTATTTTATTATTATTATTATTTTTACTACTACTATTATTACTATTATTATTATTTTATTATTATTATTATCATTATTACTATTATTATTATTATTTTATTATAATAATTATTATTATTATCATTATTATTATCATTATTACTATTATCATTACTATTTTATTATTATTATTATTATTACTACTACTATTATTACTATTATTATTATTTTATTAGTATTAGTATTATTACTAATATTATTTTTATAGAAAAATCTTCTCTCCGTTAAACAGAAATTGGGGGGGGGGGGGATATACAGGGGGGCGAATAACTCTGACTTTAAATGTATATATAACATTAGTAATGTTAATATTATTTCATAACTGGCATTACTTGTAATGAGTTATCTCCAAAACTTGACTTTATATTCAGCCACATTAATGGAGGAATATTTTTCATGTGTAATCTCAGAGGAGGATCTGCACTAATATCCCTCTCTCTCTCTCTCTCTCTCTCTCTCTCTCTCTCTCTCTCTCTCTCTCTCTCTCTCTCTCTCTCTCTCTCTCTCTTTCTCTCTCTCTCTCTCCCTCTCTCTCTCTCTCTCTCTTTCTCTCTCTCTCTCTCTCTCTCTCTCTCTCTCTCTCTGGTTGCCTGGATACGGGATGCTGTGTTTCCTCGTGCCGCTGATGCTGCGGAGACTCATTTCCTCACAGTCACTCGTGCAGGTGGACACACACTCGCTCCACTCACACACCGACTCAAGTTCATCAACGGTGAGTTTACATGCTATTCTCACACTTTATGTTCATCTAGACAGCCTAAATATCGGCTAAACGAGTGTAGATGACGGGGTTTTTAATTCTCTGTTTGGTGTGTGCAGCTGAACCTGCTGAATCAAACACTGAAGTTAATATCATAATGTTCCTCTGTTTGTTAAAGCAATTTAAAGTGAGATTGAATGAGCAGTGCTCAGCATAAAGAGTTCACCTCTCACAACTCTTTTCTAGAGGATGCTCTATAATGATGTGTTTGTGCATATGTGTTAGATTAGTCAGTATTGAAGACTACACTGATGAAGTAATCTAACAAAAACACTGAAGATTTCCTTTTATAATTAACATGTAGAGGGAAAATATTGAATACAACGTTAATAAACAGGAAAAATCAAGAGAAAAATAAAAAACATCCACTCTTGGAATTATCTTTCATTCCTAAAAATGTTCAGTGACCAAACTCTTATTTTAAACAGTTTATTAAAACTGTTTTATTCAATCGCAGCGAATGATTTTGAGTGTCTTCACTGAAAATAAAGGAAAATAATAGCTGGTGTCCTTATTTACGCTGAGCTCCGTATAATGACATGTAAAGGCTGTAGATACAGATTGCATAATTGATATTTTTAATTATTTAGATTATTTAGCTGATTAATTAATTATTTAGTTCTTGTGTGCACTTTTTAACTGAGCTTTTTGAGTTCTTGTTTGCATGCTACAACATTTGCAAGTTATTGCTGATTTTTATAATTATTGGTCTCAAATATACAGCATATACAAACCGACACCTTGGGATTATAAGGTTCTCTCTGCGCTCTGAATGATTTTGAGATATTGAGATTGAGTTTTTGCATTCCATAGCAAACAGTATGTGTTAAAATAAAAAATAATAAATAAAAATAAAGTAATCCAAATAAAATCCAAATAAAAAGTCTTAAAATGTAGAACAACTTATTAAAAACGTATTAATACAACTTATTTAAAACATCCCATAATGTAAATAAGTTGTCAATTAATAAAAATATGTCAATAACTCAAATTTGACAAAAAATGTCAAATAGAACCTTATATTTCTAAGATGAAGACACTTATTAATGCAATTTCAAATATCTGCTCTGGCATGAATATATATGAATATACAATATTTAATAATCTGTAATATATTGCAGATTATATTCTTAAGTGTCGCACAATTATTCAGAAATCATTCTAATATGATTATTTGATAATTAAGACATAATAATAATTATTATCAGCTTCATATTGTGTGTTTATACTGCTTGCTTTTAACAATCAAGGGTCATATGTGATCTGGATTGCGTAATTCAATTACAAAAATCAAGTAAAGAGAGTAAACTGCTTTTAAATATACATGTAATTGGATTACAGTTACTTTTTCTGGATTACATAATTACATATTATCCACACAATGGCAGAAAGTTGCTCACTTCTCATCAATTCTCAGATTTTTCCGCTTAGATTTTATCATTATGAACCTGTCGCTCATCTGCGTTTGTGATTCTTCATGATTTTTTCCTCCCACTTCAAAATAAGTGACTACAAGCACAAAAGTAATCTAAATGTAATCTAAAAGTACTCAGTTACGGTATTATAAATGTGTAATCTAGGAGATTAAATGAACAGACTGCTTATAATTAGAGCAAACTACTGTTGTGCATACTTATTTAGACTACAGTTACATTTAACGAATTACATGTTATTAACAGGGGTGGCACAGTGGCTCAGTGGTCAGCACTGTGGCCTCACAGCAAGAAGGTCTCTGGTTTGAGTCTCGGCTGGGTCAATTGGTGTTTCTGTGTGGAGTTTGCATGTTCTCCCCGTGTAGGGGAACTGATCAACTACACTGGCCGTAGTGTATGAGTGTGTGTGTGTGAATGTGTTGGGTTGTGGCTGGAAGGGCATCTGCGGTGTAAAACATTTGCTGGATAAGTTGGCGGTTCATTCCGCTGTGACAACCCCTGATTAATGAAGGAACTAAGCTGAAAAAAAAAGGAATGAATGAATGTTGGAGAAAAAAGTGTGTATGCAAGTAGAGTTTGCTTGTTTTTACACAATGTCTAAAATATTTTATGTTTCATTATTAAATTATTTTTGTATTATTAAATGTATTAAATTATAATATTTAGTTTGATAGGGCAAATAAAAATCTTTTTCATCTGGCCCATTTGAAAGATTCCTCAGCGTTTATCCCTTCATGAGTCTACAATGTCATTCATGACAGTCTTAAAGTGTCTTTAAAGTCTTAAATTTCACTTGAAGACACCTGCAGAAACCCTCAGAACACTCTGTTTGATTGGGCGTGGCCAATTGTTGACTGCGAAGTAAATGCTTTCTGCTCTGATTGGCTGACAGATTTGCATATTAACAGGGCTGAAGAGGCAGAGGAGTAGAAGTCGATCTTTCTTGGGGGCGGGGCTTATCCACACTATTACATCATAGAATGGAACATTCCAGAACCTGCTGTTTTTGTCTTCAATATTAGCTGACTTGGGGTGGCATGAAGGCTCAGTGGTTAGCACTGTCATCTCATAGCAAGATAGTCACTGGTTCGAGTCCCAGCTGGGTCAGTGTAGAGTTTGCATGTTCTCCCCGTGTTGGCGTTGGTTTCCTCCGGGTGCTCCGAACAGTCCAAACACATGCGCTACAGGGGAACTGGTGAACTGAATTGGTCGTAGTGTATGAGTGTGTGTGAATGAATGTGTATGGGTGTTACCCAGTACTGGGTTGCAGCTAAAAGGGCATTCGCGGTGTAAAACATATGCTGGAAGAGTTGGTGGCTCATTCCACTGATAAATAAAGGAACTAACTGAAGGGAAATGAATGAATGAATGAGCTGGTTTTGTTGGAGACATGTTGAAACTTACAGGACGAGCCCTTTAGCTTCTGTATAAATGATTGTGAAGTTGAATGTAAGTCCTCCATCACATCAAGAACCTCTCTTTATCAAGATCAAGAACTATGCAGCGAGAGTGTAAATAAAAGCAGATTGGAGTGTGACGCTGCTGGTGTGTGTGTTCATACAGATGATCCTCCTGGGCGAATAAACCACAGTCTACATGAAGCCTGATGATGGTAATCGTGTGTGTTTTGGTCAATCTTTCATGCGTCAGACTGTGTTTTTCCCCAGTTTTGCGCAGCTAAAGTCGCCCCGGCTTCACCTCCTCCATCCATTATGATCTAAACGCTCTTAACATGATTCACTCTGGAGTTCTGTGCATTATTTCCTCTGCTGACATTTATAGACAAGACGAAACGCAGAGATGCTAAAGGCCTCGACTGATGACGCGCGCTTTAAATGCGTGTGCGGCGATTAACACACACACACACACACACACACACACACACACACACACACACACACACTTAAAGCTTGTAGCTGTAGATTTTGTTGTTGATTTACAAAGAGCAGTAACCACACACACTTCTACACACACACACACACACACGTGCACATACACATACAGAGAGAGACACGCACAGATTATAGCAGGGTGTCTCTCTCGTCCCTTGGTCACCGTGAATATGTATTGGACAGCATCTAAATAAACCATAAAAGAATAAAGAAAAACAGAATACAAACACACACACGCACACACACACACACGCACACACGCACACACACATGCATACAAGCTAAGGATTGTGTGTGTGAGAGAGATTAGAGCTGTTCATTATCTGAACACAAAGGCGCTTCAGCAGGACAATGACTGAAGACAGCGCACACACACACATACACACACACACACACACACACACACATTATTGGCAAAAACTAACACAAACACAAACCACACAAATACAACTAAACACAAACACACACCGCACACTAATACACACACACATACTCAAATGCACACACACACACATTATCAGCAATAACTGGAGTTATACGCAAGCACACACACACACAAACACACACACACACACACACACACATTATAAGCAACAACTGGAGTTATATGCAATCACACACACACAAACACACACACGCACACACATTATCAGCAATAACTGGAGTTATACGCAAGTACACACACACACACACACAAACACACACACACACACACATTATAAGCAACAACTGGAGTTTTATGCAAACACACACAAACACATACACAAACAAAAACTCACACACACACACACACACACACATTATCAGCAACCACTGGAGCCACACACACTTTTTCGCAAAAATCCTGGTCTCACACACACACACACCACTCACAAATACACACACACATATATATATAAGCTACAAACATACACACACACACACAAATACAACAACTGTTTAATGTCTGTGTGTGTATGTGTGTGTGTGTGTGTGTGTGTGTGTGTGTGTGTGTGTGTGTGAGTGTGTGTGTGTGTGTGTGTGTGGTATGTGTGTGTGTGTGTGTGTGTGTGTGTGTGTGAGTGAGGAGTGTTTGATGATGGCAGTTTTATTGCTGCACTTCTCCTCCATCAGTCAAAGTGAATCGAGCGTCTGCAGTGTGAACACACACACACACACACACACACACACACAGCTGCGCAGGTTAATGTGGATTAATGGCGCCTCTGGGAACAAAAGCCTGATCTCAGTCAGTCTGCAGACGCTCAAAAAGCCTTTCAGTAACCCGGCTCATACAGCTGCCATCACTAAACACATTCAGCGCGTCTGCAGCGCTCAGCGCTCGCTTCATTATTATTATTATTACACGTCTACCCCAACACAACACACACTTCACCCGCAGCACAGAAATCAACACACTTCATCTGGGGGAGAATGAAGTGCATCTTTAATTGAGGATATTCGGCTCCCTCATTCACATGCAGATGTGTGTTTAGTGTGTGTTACCAGCAGGATCCAACATTCAAGCTGAAGTCAGATTACATCACCCATACACTCCTGCACACACACTCACACACTACGGACAACTTAGCCTACCTAGTTCCCCTATAGCGCATGTGTTTGGACTGTGGGGGAAGCCGGAGCACCCGGAGAAAACCCACGCCAACACGAGGAGAACATGCAAACTCCACAAAGAAACACCAACTGACCCAGCCGAGACTCGAACCAGAGACCTTCTTGCTGTGAGGAGATTGTGCTTCCCACTCCACCACTGTGACGCCCTTTTCTGACATAAACTTTCTTAAAATAAAATTTTTAAAATAAACAATTGTTTACAAGTTTTCAAATCTATAATAAACTAAAGCAGCCCAATTATGCGGGAAAACTGTGGATTTGGCAACCCAAATGGAGAGATTTGAGTGTTTGCAACACAATTAGTCCAGCAGAAGAGGACAATAATGATCTGCTGCCTGTGATTTCTGATCAGATCTGCAGCTGATCAACAGATGTGCGCAAGTATAAAGAAAAATAAAAGTGTTTTCTTCCTGAGCTCCTAATAAAGTGGTTTTTACCTGGAGCCACGAGCTCCTGCTGACCGACTGTACCGCGTTAATTATCCTCCATTAGTGCTGGAGCAGAGATGAGGCTCAGAAACAACGTCAACAAACCCGAACAAACACAATCACAGGCTAGTCTCCATCCCCGCCGCTCATTTCCGCCCGGTCGGGGTCCGGGGCCGCCCTCACGGGGACGTGCTTCAGTTCCTCAGCGCACAATCTATAACACAAGTTCACCATCCAGAACGTAAATAACACTGTCAGTAAACATGAGGACGGCTCACTTTTACTCTAGTAAATACAGAAATTAACATTACATCAAGAAAGCAGATGAGTGGCAAATCACATATTTAACATACACGTTCATATGTGGATTACAGAGATATAAAATATAGCATGCTTTAAATACTGTGAAAATATTGATGTTTTTAATCATTACAGTTAAATATGTATGCTTTTTTCCTGTTTAATTCTGCTTTAGAGCTGAATTACGGGAGCTTGATCTTTTTTTCAACAACTTTTAATCTTGAAAAGTTGTAAAATGTGACATTTATTGTCATTTTTAATAGATAAAATGCAAATTTTAAGATGAAATGATTTGGTGGCAGGACTTATAGCTGCATAGCACCACAGTTATAGAAGTCCCTGCCATTAGATATTCCCCAGGTGGATCTCCAATTTTAAATCCTGGGTTAAAATCTTTCTGTTCTTGCTTTTAATGATTTTCTGGATTAATTTCTGTATTTTATAATGTGCCTGTGACATATTGTAAGGTGTCCTTGAGTGCTTTGAAGGCACCTATAAATAAAATGCATTATTATTATTATTTATTTAATAACATTTTATATTATTATTTGTTATTATTGGTGTTCTATATTACATTTTAAAAAAACCTTGTAATCAACTATTAGTACATTTCTGTTATTTTACAGACTAATTTCTCTACATATTATCATGAATGAATTTTATTTTAAATTAAAAAATATATTTGACCAATAGTTTGAGTCTTAATTTCCTTCATTAATTTTCCTTCGGCTTAGTCCCTTTACTCATCAGGGGTCACCACAGTGCAATGAACCGCTAACTCATCCAGCAAATATTCAACCCAGCGAATGCCCTTCCAGCTCCAGCCCAGTACTTGGAAACACCCAAACACACTCGTTCTCACACATACACTCATACACTACGGCCAATTTAGTTAATCGATTCGCCTGTAGCAACGGGACTTGCACCAGCAACCTTCTTGCTGTGAGGCCACAGTGCTAACCACTTAGCCGTGCCACCCCAAATCTGCTTATATTGAAGACAAAAACAGCAGGTTCTGGAATGTTCCACTCTATGATGTAATAGTCTGAACAAGCCCCGCCCCCAAGAAAGATCGACTTCTATTCCTCTGCTTGTTTAGCTTGTTAATATGCAAATCTGTCAGCCAATCAGAGCAGAAAGCATTTACTTCTGAGTCTACAATTGGCCACGCCCAATCAAACAGAGAGCTCTGGTGAAGTGCACTTAGCACTGTGGCCTCACAGCAAGAATGTCGCTTGTTTGAGTCTCGGCTGGGTCAGTTGGTGTTTCTGTGTGGAGTTTGCATGTTCTCCCCGTGTTGGTGTGGGTTTCCTCCGGGTGCTCCGGTTTCCCCCACAGTCCAAACACATGCGCTATAGGGGAACTGATCAACTTTACCGGCCGTAGTGTATGAGTCTGTGTGTGAATGAGTGTGTATGTGTGTTTCCCAGTACTGGGTTGCGGCTGGAAGGATGTCTGCAGCATAAAACATATGCTGGAATAGTTGGCGGTTCATTCCCCTGATGAATAAGTGACAAAGCCAAAGGAAAATGAATGAATAAATGAATGAATATGTCAAACCTGTAACCCACATGTTTAAAATCAACCCACGGCATGTGGTTTAAATAGCCCAATTCTGCAGCAAAACTGTGGATTTGGCAACCCAATTGGAGACATTTGAGTGTTTCTACAGAAGCAACACAATTAGTCAAACTCCACACAGACACATCAACTGACCCAGCTGGACCTCGAACCAGCAACCTTCATGTTGTGAGGCCACAGTAATAACCACTGTCTTGATTTTACTTTACTAAAATAAACTTAGTGTGTGTGTGTGTGTGTGTGTGCAAACTCATTGACTAACCAGTGTTCTGTCTCTCTCGTAGATCAGATGGGTAGCAGCTGAGCGCTCTTACAGTGATGGAGATCATCAGAATAACATCCGCACTCTCACATCCATCCACAACTCAACCGTCGATGTGTACGAACGCCTCCTCGTCCCCCAACCAAACGTTTATTTCTCCGACAGACAACTGGAGACCTCTGGATTACTCTCCAGGCATCGCTGGGATCCTCATCCCTCTGGTGTACATCACCGTTTGCGTTGTCGGTCTGGTCGGGAACACTCTAGTAATCCACATCGTGCTGCGATATTCCCAAGCGGAGTCTGTGACAAATATCTACATCCTCAATCTAGCTATCGCTGATGAACTCTTCATGTTAGGTCTGCCATTCCTCGCTGTACAGAACGGCCTTCTCTCCTGGCCCTTCGGATCTCTGATGTGTCGTCTGGTCATGACCGTTGACGCAATTAACCAATTTACTAGCATCTTCTGTCTGACCGTGATGAGCATCGACCGATATCTTGCTGTAGTGCATCCCCTCCGATCCTCTAGGTGGCGCCAGCCACGTGTGGCTAAAACTGTGAATTGCACAATATGGGCGATTTCGTTTGTAGTAGTCCTACCAGTGGTGGTGTTCGCCGGCGTTCTGCAGGATGACGGAAATTGTAGTATTGTATGGCCGGAGCCTGCCGAAGTCTGGAAAGCGTCGTTTATTATCTATACGGCGACAGTGGGATTCTTCGGCCCGCTTACCGTAATCTGTCTCTGCTATTTGTTAATTGTAGTGAAAGTGCGCAGCTCTGGACGAAGAGTCCGCGCTACGTCCATTCGCCGCAGGAAATCAGAACGCAAAATAACGCGAATGGTCGTAATCGTGGTAGCTGTGTTTGTATTCTGCTGGCTGCCGTTCTACGTTTTAAACATCGTAAACCTGCTGGTTCTGCTACCAGGCGAGTTCAGAGGCCTGTATTACTTTGTCGTAGTTCTTTCATATGCAAACAGTTGCGCAAATCCCATCCTATATGGATTCCTTTCGGATAACTTTAAAAGAGGATTTCGCAAAGCCTTGTGTCGATCGTCTAGACGTGTGGAGAACCAGGATCTGCAGCAGGGAACGGGAATGGTGGCGCTCCCGCTGGAGGAGATCCGAAGGGAGATGGAGGTAAAGGAGCATCTGAAGGCGATGGATGTTGAGGAGCGCGAGGAAAGCGAACTTCGAAATGGTAAAAACGTGGATGAACGATGCGATGGTGCCGTCAGCTCGACCTCTGAACCCGCAGCTGTTCTCAATGGAGCTCGGAGACACAAACACCTGCCGGAGAACGGCGAGGATAAACGCTCCGTCCTGGAGATCAGCTGCTTGTGATAAATATTCATTGATGACTGCTGATGGCAGATCGTCTGGCCGTGTTGGCTGCCAGATAACCTCAGTCTGCTTTATCCGCCACATTTTTCACTCTAAAGTGACGAAGCCATTGTGGCTTAAATATGTGGAAACTTTTGGTGTCACCCGTATGATACTATAAAATACTACAGCAATTGATTGTGTATTTGAACCCTGCTATAGTGAAGTATCTGTTGTGGTGATTGTATAGTTACTATGGTAACACAACGAACGACTATTGTAATTAATCTGTTTTATTCAACATTTACTACAGTAACAAAATATAAACAAATGACCTACAACTATAGGGTGCATTATACTACAATACACCACAGTTAGTACTATATATATATATATATATATATGACAGTATTTATTAGTTTATCAGTTCACTATAGTCAATACAAAGTGTTGTAAATACTACTAATACTGCTACTAGTCGTTATACTATAATATGCATGTATGATACACTATAGAATGGTTCAAAAACACTGCGTTTTTTCATGTGGGTATTAATATTTAGCCAAACAAAGCAGCTTGTTTTGCTGTTTGATGTTGGAAACTTGTATTTTTCATTTCATATTAGTTTAAGTTGAATGTATTGTCATGAACACACTGGATGTAAGTTTCAGCGTTTACCGTCGTTTGTTATTTCTAGTCATTAGCATGTAGCGGCTAATGAATCTGAACAATTGTGGAAACGAGCACAATAAGGTGGATATAGATGTCTGCGATATCAGCTGAGCTCCAGGGACCAGTCGAGAAGACATGAGTGGTAAAACGTTCAGAAGTTGTGTGAAGTATTTGTGAATGTACGACTGAGAAATCGGCCAGATTCTTATTTTATTCCTGTTGCTCACATTAATTCAGCACCAGTTTCCATCAGAGTCTGTTTCATCAGAATCCTCAGTCTGGTTATTAAATGATTGTTTTTTAATGAGTCTGCTGTACATCAATGATTTATTAAAAGTCAAAATACTGTAGTAAATAATAGTGTTTTTTAACCATACCTGTAATATACTGTATAATGCTTACAACTCTTCGTTAATGAATGCTACAGCATGCTATATTAACTATAGTGAACTGATGAACTAATCAATACTGCAGTAAACAGTGGTGTATTGTAGTATAAAACGCCCTGCAGTTGTGGAAAACTACAGGATTTGGTCATTTGTTTTTATTAGTGTTGTGTTACCATAACTATACAATCGCCGCAACAGATCAATTACTATAGAAGTTGTTACCATAGCAACTGTAGAATTGCTGTAACAGATCAATTACTATAGATGTTGTGTTACCATACCAACTGTAGAATCGCAGCAACAGATCAATTACTATAAAAGTTGTTACCATAGCACCTATAGAATCGCCACAACAGATCAATTACTATAGATGTTGTGTTACCATACCAACTGTAGAATCGCAGCAACAGATCAATTACTATAAAAGTTGTTACCATAGCACCTATAGAATCGCCACAACAGATCAATTACTATAGATGTTGTGTTACCATACCAACTGTAGAATCGCAGCAACAGATCAATTAATATAGATGTTGAATTACCATAGCAACTGTAGAATCATCACAAAAGATCCATTACTATAGATGTTGTGTTACCATAGCAACTATAGAATCACCGCAACAGATCGATTGCTGGTTTGTTACCATAACAACTATAAAATCACAACAAATCAATTACTATAGAAGTTGTTACCAAAGCAACTATAGAATTGCCGCAACAGATCAATTACAATAGATGTTGTTACCATAGCAACTTTAGAATCGCCTCAAGAGATCAATTACTGTTTTGTTACCATAGCAACTATAGAATCACAACAAATCAATTACTATAGATGTTGTGTTACCATAACAACTATAGAATCACCACAACAGATCAATTACTATAAACGTTGTTACCATAGCAACTACAGAATCATCATAACAAATTGATTACTATAGAAGTTGTCACCATAGCAACTATAGAATCACCACAACAGATCAATTACTAGATGTTTTGTTACCATGGTCACTGTACAATCACCACAATCAATGAATAGAAGTAAATTATTATTGTGTGATTCAAAGCCACTACAGTATTTACTATCCATTACTATAGTATTCTTAATGTGGGTTGGACAGTGTTATGAGATCCAGTGTAACATATCAAACCTCCATTCTTCAGCTGAAGGGCAGAAACCGCAGATGGTCACAGTGGTCAGTGTGTGCGAGTGTGTGTGTGTGTGTTGACATTTGAGGGCTCAAAGGGCGTTCAGTGCCACAGATGCAGTGGTGCATCTCATATTAAAATCTATCATTCATTTTTCCTCATTCTGTGCTCTTGTGTATAATTGACCATCAGCACAGACGGGTGATTTTCTCCTCCATTACTGTTATAATTCACATCTCTCACATGAACGAACGTTCTCTTTCAGAATAAAGTCATTTTTCACTCATCTCACACACTAATTTAGTGTTTGTAATTGGCCATGAGGCTATAATCTCCATCTTAAAGGGCCAGTACACCAAAAAATGAAAATTCTGTCAGCATTTCTTCATCCTCAACTTCTTCTAAAGCTGTTTGTGTTTCTTCTGTTGAAACTCTGGATGCCACTAGTTTTTTTCCAGAATATCTTGTCTTGTTTTTAAAAATAGAAACAATCTCATGAACACTTGAGTGGGAGTTTGTAGGTGGACTGTGTCTGTAACATCAGTACTGTGTTATATTTAGTGGCCTCAACTAAACAAGAGGCTTCCTTTGAGTGGAAACACCCACCGAACTGAAGCGCTTGCACTCCACACCCTGTAATCTTCACAATAAGACAAAAACACACACGTTCTGCTGAGTGTGACGCTTTAATGCAGTGTAAATTATAACAATCTGCTCATCCAGAACATAACCTTGTCCTGATATTCTTCTGCAGCAAAGTAAACATTAGCATTGAGGAAAAAACCCTGGAGAGTGGAGTCACTCCGGCACGACGTCACCAATCCACTTCAGATACGGAGGATTTCCCTGATCAATGGGCAAACTGATGACCTCGGCCACTTCATAGGGATGATTGGAGCTACATACACACACACACACACACACACACACACATTCGTTATTCTGGTGTTGTTAAAAGTATAGCTATGTTTCTATCCAAAGATAATTAGATTTATCTGCATAATGTGTATAATTCGTTTCTGAAGTGTTTGTTTAGCACAGCCAGATATCTGTAGATCCCCCTCAGAGTGATACCAATTCAAGAAGAGGAGGTGTTGCAAACTGTAACATTGCATAACACATTTCTGAATAAAGCAGTGTTCCCATCTAATGAGAAACAAGAGAGTGTCGTGTCCTGCAGCTGAGAAGCCTTTTCAAGTGCATTTTCAGGATTGTCACACATTTTGGCATTTCTATTAAGCATGTGTAGTGCAATACTCCAAAATGCTCATATAAAATAAAAACACAGCTAAAGTCAGTCAAAACCACTGTTATTTTTTTTTGTTATAAAACTCTCATTATATTAACAGTAACTTAATATTCACATCATAGTCTTATTCATCTCTGTAGACAGTGGCTGTTCTAGCTTAAATAGCACCCTGGGCGAATTACCCCATGTACACCCCTCAACACTGAATTGAGTTATCTTAGTTACCGCTCACAATCGTTTGACCCAATCACATGCGCTGGGAGAGGAAGGGTAAATGTGAGAAGCAAAGGGTATAGCAAAAGACTTGCTCTGTTGATAGTAGGGTTGGGCGATGTTGACCAATTTGGCATCATACGTGTCTAATGTGAAACATCACGATGGACGAGGGCATCATCGTCGTAGGTGGGAGTGGGGGTTGTTAAATACCAATTTATTCATGAGGAAATAATTAATAGTAGTCTACCGTTTTCACTACCTGACCCACATGGTGTTTGCTTTACCCATAACCAAACCATAAATAAATAAAGTTACACACAGATTACCACCTGTCAATCACTGTTTTTCCCGCCGGACTCTGCATGAACAGAGTGATCTGTGTCAGTGTAATGGCTTTTCCCACAGCTGCTGGAGGACACGAGAGTTGGGCTGGAGTTCACTGTAATATGTATTGTGATTGATGATAACTTCCTTATTTTATTATTATTATGAGGAAATAATAACAAGTTAAGATGCTAGGCCTCGACCGTTTTGGTCAAATATGCGCCTGAAGTTTTATCTATGCGACCTAAAAATTTAGTTGGCAGCATTTGGGCGAGTGCACACATTTTCACTGTTTTCACGTCAGAATCGTCACGGCGTGCGCGGATTTAGGAGACATGTATGCAGAATGCATTATTGCACCTAAAAATGCCAAACAGGAACAGATAAACAGCTGTTATGCGGAAAAAAGCCTGCAATGCTTGCTCCGCCTTTGTGCTCTTCTTATTGGCCCACTGCTCTAGAACTGCGAATGGATTGGGTAATATCAGCTGTCAATCAATCATTCAATGCCTTCTGCCTTCAGATGACAGGAGCTACAACCGCCAAAATGTGAAGCGCAGAAGATGAGAGAATGAAAACAACACTGACAGATTTTGTTACACACACACACACACACACTCATACACTATGGCCAGTTTAGTTCATCAGTTCCCCTATAGCGCATGGGTTTGGACTGTGGTGGAAACCAGAGGAAACCCACGCCAACACAGGGAGAACATGCAAACTCCACACAGAAACACCAACTGACCCAGCTGGGACTCGAACCAGCCCCCTTCTTGCTGAGATTCCACAGTGATAACCCCTGAGCCACCATGCTGCTCCCATTTTATCACTCATATTCCATTATGATGATGCATTACACACAGATATGGAATATTAAGTAAGGGGCAGGGTTTAATTCAAGTTTCTCTGTGCTTCATTTGCAGCACACTTGTAGGGGCGTGGCTAAACATATTTCGCCCAAACTGATGTCATTAGAGAAGTTAGGTTATGTCAGTGAAAACAGCACTGTGCTAAAAGAAAGCCCTATGTTAACAGTGTCCAGAAGCATCATTGACTCGGAAGCATCTAGGATGGAGCATCACACAGTGGAGACGTGTACTGTGCTCAGATGTCCTTGGCAAAGGTAACCCGCCCTTCTGTGATGCTCCAGTAATGCTGTACAGCACAGAGAGGTTTTGGAGCACAATATGCTGCCAATTTAACCGGGGATACCCATGCAGAGTTCAACACGACAATGCAGGACCACATTCAGCTCACATTACAGAGTCCTGCTGAGGTGGACTGATTTGGGGTTGGGTTACTATAGCAGCGATTCCTTAATGAATTAGCTAATAAGTCGAATTTCCGGTTTTATGTTGAAGGAAATAAATGAAATATGCAATAATAACCTCGAACTGCTACTTGCATATCATTTCTATCCCCATTTAAATGTCAAATAAATGTAGTCAAAGACTCACAGTCATATCTATTGATCATGTGACCACAGTGGCCAATCAGGGGTGTTTGAGAACCTGCACTGGACGGTGAGCAGGGAATGGATGTGTTTCAATGTGGGCTCTGATTGGTATTGCAGACAACACTACATTATTCAACACTGCTGTGTTTCAGACGGAGTGTGTCGCTTCTGTCACGAGCAGCACAAACAGAATCACAAAACTGATGGAGAGTTTCACTGGAGGACCAACAGGTTACATCACCAGCCTCAAACACTGCCTTCAGTTCAGTGTGTGTGTGTGTGTGTGTGTGTGTGTGTGTGTGTGTGTGTGTGTGTGTGTGTGTGTGTGTGTGTGTGTGTGTGTGTGTGTGTGTTTTTCTGTCTGTCTGTGTATATTTGTTTATGTGTGTGTCTGTATGTGTGCCAGTCTGAGCATCATTCATAACTTTCTTTCCTCATCTGTCTGTAGGCATTTAAGGGAATTATTAATGTTTGTGGAAAATCTCTTAACTTGTGCATTTTATATGACAAACATGACAACATCAGCTCATACTAGACTACTGGAGACCCAACATGTTTCTGTGCTTGACCTGTGTGTGCATGTGTGTGTGTGTGTGTGTGTGTGTGTGTGTGTGTGTGTGTGAGAGAGAGAGAGAGAGTTACCGGACATATTCAGCGAGGTCAGGAATCTTTGAACTTCTTGTCTTGATCATCTGAGAAAAATGTTCAACACACTTATTACAGAACACAGATTATGTTGATGTGTACATGTAGTTTCTGTGTGGAGTTTGCATGTTCTCCCCGTGTTAGTGTGGGTTTCCTCCTGGTGCTCTGGTTTCCCCCACAGTCCAAACACATGCGCTATAGGGGAACTGATCAACTACACTGGCAGTAGTGTATGAGTGTGTGTGTGAATGAGTGTGTATGGCTGTTTCCCATACACTGGATTGCAGATGGAAGGGCATCCGCTGCGTAATACATGCTGGATAAGTTGGCGGTTCATTCCACTGTGGCGACCCCAGATTAATAAAGGGACTAAGCCGACAAGAAAATGAGTTAATGACTGAATGAATGTGCTTCAAAATATTGAAACACTCAGTATTATTCTCATTGTGTGTGTGTGTGTGATTATTAAACACCCGGGTCAGACCAGCAGGGCTTTGGAAAAGGAAGAATTCAGTAAACCGGGACTGAGAGGAAAATTTAGGAAGAAAATCTGAGTTTTTACATGTTTCCATTGTCAGAACATTTAATAAAAATAATAACATTAATATCGAGCAAAGCGTCTTCTAACTGTACAAAGATCATGTGAAATCATGTTAATAATACACAGTTAAAACCACAAGCTTACATAAAATCTACAAAAAGGAACATAACCATTTTTAAAAAGATGTCTTGTGCATTGTGCATGTTTGCTAAATACCAGAATAATGAGAGAATTTATTATTAATGTCTAGACAGTCAGAAGTTTACACACATTTCCTTGCTATTCTTTAGCTTTTCCTCCTGACAGAATTGCTGTAACTGAGTCAGATTTGTAGGCTGTCTTGCTCGCACAAGCTTTTTCAGCTTTGCCCACACATTCTCTATAGGATTGAGATCAGGGCTTTGTGATGGCCACTCCAAAACATTCACTCTGTTGTCCTTAAAGCACATGTGAACTCATTTGGCAGTATGCTTAGGTTCATGGTCTGTTTGGAAGAGTCATGTGGCCAAGTTGTGGCCAAGTTGTAATGTCTTGGCTGATGTCTTGAGATGTTGCTTCAGTATTTCTCCATAATGTTCTGTCTTCATGATGCCATCTATGCTGTGAAGTGGACCAGTCCCTCCTGCAGCAAAACAGCCCCACAACATGACGCTGCCGCCCCCATACTGCACAGTTGGGATGGTGTTCTAGGCTTGTGCGCTTTCCCCTTTGTCCTCCAAATGTAACGCTGCTCATTATGGCCAAACAGTTCAATCTTAGCTCCATCAGAGCACAGCACATGTCTCCAAACATGAGTAATTCAGCTAATGGTAATCTGGCTTTGTTGTTGGTTCTGGCTTGTTGATTTCCCCATGTTGTCACACAGAGAAGCAGTGTGTTTGAGCTTTTCCTTCAATACTATTCTACAGTTGTGCCTCACATTAACTCAAATGTTGTCAATCAGCCAATCAGAAACTTCCAAACCCCTGACATCATCATCTGAGCTTATCAGAGGCAGAATAATCTTACTGTGTGTAAACTTGACTATCAAGAAGAGTTAGAACAATTCCTCAAACAATCTCTGTCATTATTCTGCTATTAAGCAGAACAGAAACACACGTGATCATCCTAACTTACCTAAAAGAGGAAAAGTTTACTCACATTAACATCTGACTTTATTAAAATGTGCCATTTTATAGTGTGTGTAAACTTCTTTCAACTGTAAATGTGTGTGTGTGTGTGTGTGTGTGTGTGTGTGTGTGTATGTGTGTGTGTGTGTGTGTGTGTCGCTCACCAGCAGAACTTCATTGTCCTCCTCGATCTTTCCCTGCCACTCGTACCTGCAGCACACACACACACACACACACATTAGACCTGCATCATATTACTGTATATCACACACAGACAAAAAAAGACACACACATCATATCTCTCACATACACACTCATCTACTGACAGACACACGCACCTTGCACAAACAAATCAGATGCATGACTTCATGCACACACATCTGACTTTCTGACCCGCACACAAACCGGCCACTTTATTAGGTACACTTTACTAGTACCAGGTCAAACCCACTTTTACCTTCTGCCTTAATCCTTTGTGGCATAGGTTCAACAGGGTACTGGAAATATTCCTCAGAGATTTTGCTCTTGACT